TGTTTGGAAGTGCTCTGAAGCTCTGAGCTGTTACACATACCTTACATTCTGTACATGTGTTACACTTGGCCAGAGTGAGCTGAATGGCAGTGTTAGACTCAGGGAAAAATAAAGCCAGCTCACTAGTTTAGAGAAGTGTAATACTGGATATTCAGGGCTGACCAGCCTTTCCACTTTCAGAGAATACTTTTGCATTGCTTTTTTGGAGTGATTCTCAGTGTCTTTATTGCTCTAAAACATTGGAAACTATGGTGGTGTAGGAAAGCATTTTTAGCTTACTGAGACTATGCCAGTTTCTAGTCTGATGCTAGAGAAGTGATGTAAGAGTTATTTAGGGACGTAGCCCTGAATTTCTTACTGAATTGGGAATGACCTGATTTACAGAAATAAATGATTTATTATGCATTGCTTAAATACTTGTGGCTGCAGTACTAAATATATATATCAATAATGTTGTTACAAATACTGTCCCTAGAAATAGTTCAGGTGAGTAAAAGAAATGAGGACATAAAGCGCTACAGTTCTTTTTAATCTGTCTAGGTAGTAAGACTGCTTTGAGAATATCTGCAATCTGGAATAATTTTCAATTTTTTTCCTTGGGGCTTAATATTTGCCAACTTAAGCATGTGTTTTGGTGTTTCCCTGAATTGCTACTTACACAATTTAGGATGCTCAAGTAAATTATCTTCTCTAGTATATTATTAATCTACACACTGAACACACCTTGCAGTCTGTGTTGGCGGCTTCTGTGCTGTTCCTTAGTGTTATATAGCCCACACTTTCATACCCCTCACTTTTGAAAGTTGCTTGCTGAATCAACTTACTAATTGCTATAAAAACCTAAGCCTTTTCTGATCCACAAATCTTATATATATAAGTAACCTGAAAAGAAAGCCCTTAACAATCACAATTTAGGAGTACATCCCCTAGCTTAGTAATATGAGTTTCTTGGTGGTAACCATTGTGAAACACTTAGATTCTCTTAATTATAAAAGAGAGGGATCAAGAGATAATGGGTCAGTGCAAACAAAATGGATTTTAAATAATATTAAATGTTCTGTTTCAATAAAATGCCAGCTTTGTTCAGTGTATTGGGTTGCAGGCATAAGAGTGCTGTGTATTTTGGAGTAGATGAGAAATTTTCTCCTGGGGAACTGATTTTGTTAAGAAATGCTGATGTGATTCAGTTGAAGTGCTCTGTGGGAATGCTGGCAGAACTCGAGATGGAATTGATAAACCCTCCTTGGTGCCTTCCTGCCGAGCTGGAGCTGCTGGCAGGGCTGCACCATGCAGGGCTCCTGCCCCTGCTCCCCTCCCAGCCCGGGGGCCACACACCCTCCCTCTGCCTGGGGCTGAGAGAGAAGCTGTTCCCAAACTCCTGCTTTGGAGTCAGCAGGAGTCTGTTCGGCAGGAACAAAAAAACTGGGGTTGGGTTTTGTTTTTCTAAAGACTAAGTTGATCTCCAAGTCACTGTGTTGGAACCAGCTTTTTCTTTAACTTTGCCTTAATTTGGGGGTGAAGAGAAGCTGGGGACAAAAAGAGGTTTCAGAGGGAATGCTTTGCAGGGTGAGATTTCTGCTTTACAGCAGGTGCTGGTAGGGACTGAAGGAGGGGGCTGAAGGGCTTCATGCACAGATGGTGACAGACCATGCTGTACCAGTCTGGGAAAATGATTAATCAATACTACAGGGACTTATTCTAGCACTAAGTTCTTTTAATTTGGCCTTATGTTTCTCTGCTTGGGAGTTCTGTAAGAGAATGTTCTAAATGTGATGCTGATTCAGGATCATGATGGTTTTTGAGAGTAATAAAAGCAGTTCTTTGGGTTTTAGCTGGATCGTGATGCAAATGGCAGTGAAGAGAACAAATGTTCTTCCCATGTTTCTAATTGCAAGTTGCATAAATATGGTTTGGATTTTAATGAAGGGGCCTTGGGATAATAATACTGAGGAATAGCAAATGATTAGTGAGCAGGATGTTTAATGCACATTTTTCATAGTCCTATTCCGCTTTTGTTGCTGTAGCTAACCTTCATTCTGATACTTCCCAAGTTTTGAGAGCTTGTATTTCCAACTTTATTCATCTCCTAAAAGAAGCCCTGTAACTTCATAAATCTTGTTGTTGACAAAATTAAAAGGAGAAAGAATTACACCAGTGTAATTAGTTAGCATCATTGGAACTTGGAGGCTCCTGATGCATTTCTTTGCTTCATGAGTTGGTGGAGGATGTTGTCATCATTTATGGAGGGTCAGTGCTGGAGAAAGAAAATGTTTTCCACTGACTGCAAGACTGCTTATCTCTTCTTTAATGTTAGTAATCTTCCTACTGCTTGACTTTTCTTTCTTGTCCTGTTCCACTCCCTCACACTGGTCAGGATTTTACTAACCTGGTTTCTTTTAACACTTAACTCTGTTGGAGTTTTCTGCCTAAGCTAGAACCTCCTCCTGCTCTCTGCTGAGTTCTGTTGCTGCTCCTAGGCACCTCCTTCCCCCTGGTGGTCCTTGTCCAAAACAAGCCACCTTTTCTCCCAATCACAGCTTCCTGTTCAGGATGTACTTCCAGTACTTGCCCAGGTGTTGGCAAACAGTTCTCCCTGCAAGGTGGTTCCTCACATCATTTTTTCCTGCCCTCAGCCTTGATCTGTCCTCCCTCTATCTTGTTTGTTTGATTCCCACCTACCTGCTGATCATGATTCCCTTTCTGAGTATACACATGCTTTCCCTGCATGTTCATTTCTTGAAGTTTGTCCTGAGCCTCTCCTCCCATTTCTCCTTCATGCCCAGCCTCTTTCCTGGCTCTTTTCATTCCCCTTTTTGTCCCCATCATCTGTCTGCCACCTTTGCAGTATTTCAGTTTCTTCTGCCACTGTGGGGGTCAGTGGTGAAGTTACTGAGGTTGCTGGAAAGGTAGACCTGAATTGTCTGTGGGGACTCAACCTCAATCCAGCAGGAGCTAAACTCAGAGGGAAAATAGCCCTGAGCCAAAGAACACCTGCTTCCTCCATCAAAGTGGCTCATGATTGGATCTGATGTGGGGGAGAGTTTGGAGCACACCTGAATCCTCAGAGACTTCAGTCAGATTCCTAAAAATATTTACTCTCTATTTGTAAATATACATGTTGGAGGCATGGAGAAGAACACTGAGGGGACAGACAGGTTCTTTTAGGGGTCTTTGGCAGAATGATGATGGCACTAAATCATAGGGACAATTAAAGAGTTATTCTCTTAACAAGATACTTGGATTAGCATAGTGCAGAATTTATTATTAGAATGGCATATGAGTTCTACAAGCAGAATCAATGTTGTGCAATTTATAAGTAACATAATACAGAATTAATAATACAACTTCACTTATAATTTCTAATCACCTTTGCAGGTCCAAGACAACTCTTTAATAGATGTTTTGCTGTATCAATACAACAATCATAATTTAGACTCAACATTTGTATAAAAGAATATGAGTCACACCCTCCATCCTTGGAGAAAGGAGAGGAGTTCCTTTCTAAGGAGTTACTTACTTAGAGTAATAAAAAGATGTATTAAAAAAGAATACAATGTGTAAACCAAAGTCACCTGAATATCAAGGTTGTAAAGAACTATAGGATGTGTTTTTCAAGGAATTCAGAAAAATAATCTTTTTTAAAATGTTTGTGTTGACCAGATGAAATTCATAAATATCCTGTAAAGAGACCCTCTCCTGTTAATGGGAAAATTATGGTGAAGCAAAATCTTCCTTTAATTTGTGTCTTCTGCAAGCACATATGTTTGAGTTCTAGAAATGCAGAATGTAGTGTAACCTCAAGTGGTGTTTGCACAGCTACTTGAAACAGGCTGCTACTTTGCACTGTCATGCTTAAGTAGGACATAGAGCCCCTAAATACCCATGGAAATTTAAACACAGGGAACAAAAACTAGGCTCTGATCCAAAGCCAGTTGAAGCTGATTAAAAGACTGCTTTTGGCTACTGAGTGCTCTGGCTTAAGCCACTTGCAAGCTAGATTTGAGTTTCAGGTGTTCAGACACACTTATCAGGTTTGTTAAGTTTGTAGGTTTTTCTTCTGATTTGTGTTCAAGGTACTGTCTGTGATTATAGGCAATATCCCAGTGTGTACAGTGCCCGACTTACATATTTTCACTACTGAGTTCTCAAAATAGTTAGTACATAATATTCAATACCTTAACTGCACTTAATCACCAGATCATGTATTCTTCTTTTTTTATGGCTTGACACAATACAGTGTTAAATCACAGGTTTACCTAGAGATGATCTACTTGTAAGATATGCTTACAATTAGAATTGAGGAAAATACCTTTACATATATGGAGTTCTTGATTTGGCTAGTTTTAATATGCTCCTCCATTCTTCCCATCCTCTTAGTTATCTAAACTTATCAAGCCAGGAACCAGAAAAGAGCAATATATTTTCATATAAGATGTATCTGTAGAGTTACAAATATAGGTTAAAGTGAGAGGTGATGGTCTGCCTGACTCAGATGACTGTTTTGTTTCACTTGTTTGCATGCTTATCTTCTGTTTTAGAAATAGAAAATAAAATATTTACATTTTATCGTAATGTTTTTTTGAGTGCAGTCCAAGTTAGTTCCTTCACTTAATTTCACTTGGCATGTTTCCCCACTTATGTTCAGGCCAGCCTGTAAAATTAAAGCTGTATGTCGTTATTAGCTATCTGTGTGCTGTGTTTCCAATTTCTTCCAGTTGAGAAAGTTGGAAATTCACTTTTGGAGTTGAGTGAAGATTCTGTTCCAAATGTTAATAGATGTGTAGAACTTGTTGGCTCCTCTAGCTGAGCCTTTTCCCTCATATACTATTCAGCAATAACATTTTTCTTGACACAAAAAAGGTTTTGGAAAACTCTGACCTACAAATCTGTAAAGCATCCCGAAGAGTGGGTTTTAGCATTTGAGGGTCAAATGTTTCCATCAGTTTTGGGGGATAAATTGGAACTTATTTTAACTAATTTCTTTTGTATTTGACCTCTAGGTTCCAGCAAGATGTGGAGTGACAGTCCGAGACAGCCTAAAAAAAGCGCTGATGATGAGAGGTCTTATTCCAGAATGCTGTGCTGTTTACAGAATACAAGATGGGTATGGCTTGTGTGGGATGCTTTTTTGCTCTTAGAATCAATTATTGGAGCTACCCAGGATGGTCAGCTCTATCCAGAGGTTGTTCACACAGTTCAGAATTTTCTGATACTTTGCATACTTCGCACTAAACAATTTGCACGTCACAGACATGTTGAAAAGAATGTCTGACTCCTCAGAAAAGGCTCAGGTATAATATTCAGTAATATGAAATTATGGCAAAACACTCATTTAATCCAACTCATGCTAACCAAACGAGTATTAAATCGGCTGTGTTAACTTCTTGGTATTATTTGATTTGGCTATAATGCATTCTTAACTAAAGACAGAGTTCCCTTGGGAGGGAAAAAACAAGTTTTCAGCCCTAAAAATTTGTATATTCATGTGCACAATTAGTTATCTCTGTGGAACTCTTACACAACAGGTACCTTCACAAACACTTTATTTGATCAAAAAGCCATCTGCCATGTGGGAAACAAGGAATTGGTCACTACTGGAGCTGGTGAAAAAGTGCATTTCCTTCCTGCAGTTTGTCCAGGGAAGGTGTGCTTTGTTTGCCATGTACTGAGCCTAAGGACTTGTTCTAAAGTTTCCTGCAATTAGACTGGGTATCAACCCCCCACAGTGTAACTTTTTAGCTGATCTCACAACTTTGGCAAGAGACATGCAAGGGCTCGTGTGCTGATGCTAATGAGAGGCTTATTTTCACTTTAGAGAGAAGAAGCCAATTGGCTGGGACACAGACATTTCCTGGCTCACAGGAGAGGAGTTGCATGTGGAGGTTTTGGAGAATGTGCCACTCACGACACACAATTTCGTATGTACTGGGTCTTGTGAGATGCTGAGTGGGGTTACATCAACTTCGTACTTTCAAATTCAAATTGCCAACTTGGAATATTTTGCATCTGTGGGATGTGGTGGGAGTTGCAAAAGAAGTTTTTAATCACAGTAGCTTAAGTGAATTTGATAGAATTGTATTTGAAATAAGTGATGCTAGGGTACTTGATCACCCTTAAAACTTTCATGTTTTGTTGGAATACACCCTCTAAAATCTATAAATGTAAGGGGTTTATATCAGTACTGCATTGCAGAGCTGTAATAATCTACTATTTTTGTATTGCTGTATCTATAAAATGTATTCTGGGCCTCCCTGCTGGCTCTGCAGCAGCAATTAACTAATGAACTAACTATTCCCAGAGCAGTGCTGACATCATCAATGATGCAGTGCACAAATATGTTTTGACCTGATAAGGCACCAAGTAAATGGAAACTGCTAAACAGAATCTGTCTAAATGTTTCCAGCTACATACAAAATCCTGGAAATACTGTCTGTCATACTGGGAAAGAAAGACCTTCTATTTCAGCTTAAAACATAGCAAAATTCTGTCTGCAAGCTGTTTCAACCTATTTAGCTCAAACAGGGCTGTTTGGGTTATGGCTAGTTAGGTGAACTCTCGTAAAAAGCTTGCATTTTTTATATCCCACTGAAATTCTGATTATTACATGTAATAATAGAACTAAGAATGTGTTTTTACACTAGTTATTGCTAAGTTTTAAAATTAACGAAATCATTTCCCCCCTATAATCAGGGGAGGATGCACAATCACCCTTTTGTGATTCTGCATGTTTCTGAGTTTCAGTAGTCAAAATTACAACTACAGCTGTAACCATACATTGAAGCCCTGTATATATATATAACATCTGTGTATGTATGTATATGTATATAATATATATGTGTGTATGTATATACGTATATGTATATATACATATATATTTATAATTTTAATATATGTAGATATACATATGCATATGTATATATACATACATATGTATGTATGTGTGTATGTATATACACACACACACACACACACATATATATATATATATATATATATACACACACATGCATATATATGCATATATGCCAATATGCCTGTGTGTTTCCAGTCCTGTCAGTATTAGATAGAAATGTCCTTTGCCTTCTGGAAAAGTTAGAATATGAAATAGTAATTCAGCAGCTTTTGGTTTTATAGGTGTTGTATCCAAATAAATTCTCAATGTTTGTGTCTAGCATGATAATAGTGAAGCTTTGCTTCAGGTTTTTTGCTCTTGTTCTTAGTGCTAGTGAAGTGAAGCATTAATTCCAAGAAACAGTTGAAGGAATGTTGTAGTGCATGAAAACTGTTTCAAAAAGGAGCCAAAGATCTTTTGTGTAAATGTGTTTGATACAGAAAACTGTAGCTCCAGCATCACAAAAGAGACTTTTAAGTACACTTGGGGGAGGTAAAAGCAAACAGCCTGCTTTGGGCTTACAGAAGGGCTCCAGGTAATTGTGCCTGTTTTTGCCAACGCAGGTACGAAAAACGTTCTTCACGTTAGCGTTCTGCGATTTCTGTCGGAAGCTGCTTTTCCAGGGCTTCCGCTGCCAGACCTGTGGCTACAAATTCCACCAGCGCTGTAGTACAGAAGTGCCACTGATGTGTGTTAATTATGACCAGCTTGAGTAAGTAATCACAATTGATTTTCAAGTTGAGCCATTTAACAAGTGTACAGCTGTCAGTGATTTCTTGTGTTAAGTCTGTAATTTAGGAAGTCAGAGGAGGTGCCTGAAAAAATACAGGAGTTTAGCTGTTCTTGTGAGACTGTTTAATTCATACTCTTTCTGTGCTAGCTCAGACAACCAGTTCATATTTCTTTGCTGGTCTATGAAGTGCTTTTTTTGAAGCATGAATAGGGTTGCTGAGCACTTGACTGTGTCAGACAGACTACTCATTGTTCACAGTTGTTATTATTAATCAAAACTGGTTCTTTATTGTGTGATGGCTAGGGCAGTGCTTAAAATTTAGCTGGGGCTTTATTCTCTTCAACCTGAAAAAATGTTAAGAGACAGTAGTTGATAATAGTGAAATTGCAGTTGGTTTTACAATAATTGAAAATAAATCTGCTAGCAAGATTAATGCCTAGGTAAGAAACATAAAAGAGAAAGACCCAAACAGTCCAATGTTCTTGGATTGAGTTACTGAACTATTTGTTTAAATAAGTCTTTGATGTAGATGTAGGATCTGGTGTAAACTGGGTCTGTTCTATTTGATAAGTTTCAGCCAAGGCTATTAAGTGCTTTAAATAGATTTTTGTATAAGGAATAATTTAAAAGGCTATTCTTCTCATCAAGAATTAATTTAATTTTAGTTTATTTTGGTATTTGTAACTGTTTCCATTGGCATCTCTGGAGTTTGTGCTCAGGGTGTAAGTTTATGTACTGATAGATAAAAGTTGTGCATTCTTGAAGAATCAGATGTTTACAATTCCATCTAAAAGATTAAAAAATTAATTTCCACAAAGGTTATATTTAAGGCATGATCTTTAGATCCTCTGTGAAGTAAATAATACTTTTAACATATCTTGCAGATTTAATGTGTGTGATCTTTATTTTTAAATGTAGAATTTAATCAATGAGGTTTTGGGGTTTGGGATCCTTTTTGTAGTTTTTGAGTATTACATTGTGAAACTTCTGGGTTTTGCACAAGTTAGGTTGTTTTTGTTTTGTTCTTGCCTCACAGTTTGCTGTTTGTCTCCAAGTTCTTTGAACATCACCCCATACCACCGGAGGAGGCCTCCTTAGGAGAGACCACCCCAGCATCTGGATCATACCCCTCAGTGCCCCCCTCAGATTCTGTTGGGTATGAACTTATTCCTGCTGTTTAATAACATAACTTTTCAGTACTGTGCTAAGAAACACTCAAAGTACTGCTTTGCAGCTCTGCATTGTTGTAATCTGGCTTCTCATGCACATATATCCACCTATGCTTAACTTAAAACAAGTGAATGTTTTCATTCACACAAATTCTATAAATTAATAATGAACCTAGGTTAAATGTGTGTGTAATTGTCTGTAGAATTGGGATATTACCTGTTAAACTGATTTCTTCTGCATAATAGCTTAGACCTGGTCTAAACTGGAAAGATTTTATACTTTAAATTAATATAAACCAAAATTATATCCTCACAAGTTCTTTTAGTTATCTAAAAGGAAGATGGTTATTAAATTTGGTTATTAAATTATAATTTATATGCTTTGAAGTCACATAGGTCAGTTTGAGAATAAACCACATTACTGTAAGGCTGATGTGAACAGGGGCCAGTTCCAGGTTCATAATACTGTTTTAGTAGCTTTCCCACATACACTGCTTTAGTATCCTCCACACCAGCTGTCTTCTTCCTGTTCATGTTGGGGTATACCAATAGCATCTGTTGCTGCAGCTCCAGGTTTTGTAAAAGTAGGTCTCTAAAACAATTTCCAACAAAGATTCTGGACCTTTCTACATCAAGAGATAGATCATATTTAAATGATGTTCCCAGTAGCAAAGACATCAATGACACCATCCACCATTAGGTAGCTGAGCAAATGTCCAGGCAAGAGTAACTCAGGGATGTATATCACACTCAAGAAATCTGGTGCATATTTATTAAGAACACCAAATACAGAAGCTTTCAGAAACCATTCCCAGGACATGTGTGCTGTGTGGAGTTGAGCTGAATGTGGCAGAGAGGATCTCTTGGATTAGTGAAAATTGTGCCTAAACTAAAGCAGAAACACACTGGAAGCTATGCAGGCACCTCTGGACTCTTTAACTGGAAGATAAATTTCCTGGACAGCCAAGACTATTTTGTAGAAGACCAAATAAAATGCCTCCCAGGAAAATAGATTGACTGTCCTGCAGAGGGAACCTCACTTGGTAAGTACAGAGATTATGTTCTTACTTGTTCTATTTTGTGCAGATTTGAGTGAATTCAAAAGTACTTCTTTAAGGTAGTGAATGTTGCCTTTAGATCCTGTGGATATTAGTACAGCAGATTGTGGGAAGGGCTGCTTCTCAAGTATTTGTTGTGCTACAGCCAGAATTGTAACTGGGCTAGAACTATTAATTCATGGAGAAACTTGTTCATGCCAATGACACAATGAAACTTGTGTCAAACACTAGTGGATGTCAAAGACACTACATAGCCCTACTCTTAATATTCTCAATTGTCCTACTTTTCAATTACCTTTGCATCACATTGGTCCATTCTTACACCAATATGGATTATCTTGATACATGCACTACTTCAGGCAGTCTTAGTTTTGACAAGTGAAAACAGAAGGAAAAAATTTAGATCAAAGCTGGTTAATGCCTTGAGATCTTTAACTTCACATACATAAAAATGTTAACATTTAAATACACTTGCTAGTTGCTGTTTAGGAGCTTTACTCAAGTGTTGCATCTATAAATGTGTGTAATTCAGATGTAAAAGGTTTCTAGATTTCTCCTTTCTGCTTTTTTGCTTTGTTGTCCACTTTATTGATAAAGAAAACAAAGACAGACACCATGCCTGCAAAATTGTGTTCATTTTGTAAAAAATGGTTTGTGATTGTCAGCTGGTATTCATACATATATGCATGTTAGTCATACGGTGTTCCCCTAGCATCTGTGTATGTAGTATTTCCTTTCCAGAAGTAGCTCAGATGTTACTGGATAAGCATATAGCACTGTCCATACCATTTTCCAGTTAGCTTTCATGCCTTTCTTTAATCATACTTTTCTGCTTTTTAAGAACATAATTGGGGAAATATTGATCTAGATGAATTTAAAAAGCTGGCCTTCTCTATAAAAACATGTACACTCACCTGTGGTTTTATTGAAGAGGACTGTTACAATATGGGACAGCAGCTCAACTGGAATTTAAAAAACAGGCTAACATTTGAGCTTATCTTGTCTAGGAGGAGAATATGGGATTGAAATTTGAGAGCTGAACAATGGGATGAAAAATATGAGGAAGTAGCGCTTTATTAACACTTCCTAGATTAATAATTGTTCTTTTGATTTCTCTGTTCTAGCATCTTGCATGGAACAGCTCACAGAGGAAGGGATGTTATTAATTGCTTGGTAAACCTGAGGAAAGAGAAGGCAAATGTCCTTCTTCATCTCTAGCCTTGTGAAGGGATCCCAGCAGCAGGCAAAGTGCCTAAAAGAAGGAAGTTTGTGTTGCAAGACAAGTTCAAGAGTGAAAGCGTGCAATGGGAGCAAATGGAAAAGTTTGGAAGAGAAATGGACATTAAGGAAGACCCTTGGACATGATGCAAAAGCTGCTAAACATGTTGGAGAACTGTTTCACTCTGCTTGTGTGCAACATCCTAAAGCAATCCAGGCCTGTAGCCTTTCATTCTTCCAACTGTGAGCCATAGGCAGTCCCTCCAGGTTTTCTACCCCAAGGTGTGGGAGTTCATATGGTCTCATTTCACATTTCTGAACCCCTTATGAAATTGTGTCCAGCCTCAACATTAGGTTTTGTGTCCCATTTTAGTTTTTTCCATTTGCACTATCCTGTTGTGCCAGAACAACCATTTTAGTTTCAATCTGCAGTTAAATGGAAAGAAAAGTGTAGGTTTCCCTGCTAAGAGCCATTTATAATAAAATTGAAGTAAGGAAACTGTATATCAAACATTGTATTTGTTTTGTTCATTGCACTGTCATGAAGTTTCTTCTCCATCTTGGCTCGTACGATACGAGCACAGAATTTCTGTGAACCCAGTTCCCTCAGTCTCAGTACATGAAAAAGAGAAATAAGCAAGTTGGCAACATCTTGGCTCTTTGAAAAACAGCATTTCCCAATATGCTTCGTCTTCTAAGTTGGAGGAAGAAAAGGGGAATGTCTGGTGCACTGTTCTTGGAAGCTTGCCAGTCCCTGCCTTTGAGCAGGCTCCAGCTTGTGATTAAACACCTCTGCTTTCCTTTCTGCCTTCCAACTGTTCACTGATCATTCTGCTTCAGCTGAAGATACTTGAATGTCTAGAAAAGCTTCTGAAAAGCCAAGGAAGTGAAGATACAGTCTTAAAATATTACATTTTATGCTACAATGCCATTTAGATCCTGTAGTGTGTAAGTGAGCAAAAGCTTTATGTTTTAATTCAGAAAACAGTGAACTTTTCCCCTAAAAGTTCTGGCACCAGGCCTTTTCCAGGTTTCTCCATGAAAATGTTCCCAGTGTTCCTACAATATACAGGTTGAGTTGATATACATTCTTGCTTTGCAGAAAAGGTTTGGTATCAGAATCAGAAAACTCTCAGTCCATACAACAGGTGAGGGAAACCTCTTGCTCTTCAAAACTTTATTTGCAAAACCCTGTTAGTGAACTGGACCTGGTTTGGAGGACTAACAGTGACAATGTGGTTCTCTTGATAACCCCTGGTATGTGAACCTGTGGGGAATTTTAGGCTCATTAGGTTTGATCAGTTGTTTTTCACCGTGGATGAAAACAAGTTGTCATGGTATAAAAAACTGCACTAATTTGTGTGGGGTAATGACTTAGGGATCTGTCCCATGATGCTTCTAGACTGACTTCAGAGATACTGCAAGAAAGATATTTAGCTTGTAGTTATAAACTGGTACTGCTGTCCTTTTCTCCAAATTGGCATTTGATTTGGGATTATTGCATATTTCCAGGCTCCAGGGATGGGGAAAGAAATAAAAAGTTAGGTTTTCTGGCAATGTCTATGGATTACCACCGTAATTAAATCAGAACCTGTTTGGCCTCAATTTAAATTTACCTGCTTGCTGCTATAGCTGAAATACCACTGTGTCTCAGATCCTTAGCATTCCTAAGAAACTGCTTGGAACTGGAAGTGCACTGTGGTCTTCATTAAGAGCAGTAACAGCAACCAAATCCAGTCTGTTGTTAACACTGGAGTAAACAAAAACAATCAAAACAAGCCTTGATACACATTCTAGCTTGCAGTAGTTTGGTTTGGATATGAGTGTGCAGCCTTACAGGGAAATTGTGTGTGCAGCACTGAGCCCAGTGGCTAAACTGAGGAGGACTTGTTCAGGGTGTGAGGAGGAGAAAGAAAATCTCAGTCCAAGAGAGGTACTGTCATTTTAAAAAGGAATGGGTGCACACCTTATAATTGAAGCTAGGTGAATATGAATTTTGAATTCAAGCATTTGCTCAAGTACAGCAAACTAAAAATACAGTCAACAAAAACTTAAAGCCCAAATACACCTGTCATAAGAAAAATCTTTCCTGTGTAGGCCAGCTCTTAAACACTTATGAAACATCACATTGGTGAGTAAAGGACATTAAGGAAAATCTATATTAAATTTTTATCTTGCATTTGTAAAGTGAACTTATTTATATCATTGCAAGTTCTAAAAGCCAATAGACATACTGTGTATAATTTCATAAAATTGTTTATATATTGCATAACATGTGCAGACTTTTCTGAGTTACCTTAATCTTTCTTGTGGACCCAGTTTTGTGGAATAGTAAATCTGGGCACTTGCTATGCTTGGTAAAGGGTATAAGTTATTCTTGTTTCCTGATAAAGCATCATTCTGTTTTGCCTGATAAAAAGGGAGGGAACAATGTGCTAATCCCAAACATATGGTCCAAGGTAAAAGCATGTTCTGTCATGCTTTTCCACTGCCTGGAAAGGTTATTACATATTAGATTGAGATTTGACAACATCAGCTTGTTGCCTCAGCAGCTGAGAATCATTTTTTAAAACAATGCCCACATCTTGGAAGCTGGGAGAAAGTGATTTATTTGCTTACTTGTAGAAAGCCTCCTTTAACAAGTTAGCTGTAAACTGTTCAAAAAGGCCACAGGAGCAACAGAAACTCAGATCCTGATATTCAAACTGCATGTTCCTTTAAGCCTCAGCCTGTTATTTTCTGGGGGTGGGGGTTGGTTTTTTGTTTAAATTTTTTTTTGTATGTTTGATTTTTTTGGGGCTTTTGGGCCTTTTTTTTCCAGTGTGTTTTGTCAGCACTATGGTTCCATAGCCTAAGAACTAGTTTTGGAACTGGCCTGGAGTAGACCATGTCACCCTTGTCCAAATGGTGTCTGGCCCTTTTAGCCCCAGTGTCACTTCTTCTCCTCTGGAGTAATTTCAGTGTAGGAATACTGTAGGAACAGCCTTTGGTAGCTCAGAGGATCACTGTGTTCTTTGTGGTGACGTGATTTTGATAGAACAAGATCCTGATGCAGACCAAGATCCAGCTTTTGCCACACACAGGCAGAAGGTGGTGGTAATACTTTTCTGAGCTTGTGATCTCAGTAGACTGTCTTAGCTAGCAAACCCTTTGTCTCTTTTATTTCACTAGTTATCTTTTTCAAGAAAAAAATACCATTTAGCAGAAATAACCTACATTTTTCCAAGTGTCTCAAAGACAGCCATTAATAAAATAATGATGGAGCATGTGGCTAACTGCTTATGAGGTTCCCATCTCTGGATTCTTTGTCTAAAGCCCAGAGATTCTCCAAGAAATAGCTTAGAGACTGAAAAAAAAACCCAGAAAAACAAAAAAAAAATTATTCTTTATTAGCCTATTTTCTAAAGATCTGGACTTCCCCCAGTAAGAATGTAATGAGTAGAAAAAGCTGTTCAAGCTGTTTTCAAACATGGTATGACGTAGCGTGCTGTCTGTGTTAGCCAACATGATGGACTTGATGACCTGTGACCAGAAATACAGAAGTAGCAGATGACCATTTATGACTCAAAGGAGGATGTAATTGAAACAATATTGCCTCAATCTGGTTTTCAGTGCCTTGGCTTACTCATGATCACAGAATATCTGATTGCTTCTGGTTTTGTCTTGTGGCAGAGCTCAAATGGTTTGTCACAGTCAGTCCTGGTGCAATGTTCTGATGGATGTTGTGATATATTTCCCTTAATTTCCTTATTACCTGAGAATTCTCAGGAAGTTTAAGCAGGAGTTAGCTATCCCAGCAATGACAGTACTGGCCTGGTTTAGACACTTTTTAGACTTTTCTGCTGATACCTTTTTTTGCAGCATTTGACACGCTTGCCTTAAGATGAAAATGGAGTGCCTTTAAATGTCAGTCAAGTCCTGCATTAGGGTCTGTGCAGTGTCCCATCTCCTGTTGTGTGTTCTAGTCACATGATTTACTTACAAACACATTCAGGAGTTCAAAACTTCCTCATCTGCAGTATTTTACCTGAAGGTACTTGCACACCAACAAATGAAAACCTCAGCTTATGTGTATGTACAACAACTGCATTTAAAAAAATAGTTTTGAAATTATGAGCAACTACTGAAATGCTGGGATTTTCAAGGCCCCTTCTCGGAGATTTGACTATTGGTAGTTTATTGCTTCCCAGTATCTTCCCAATATCTATATTCTGTCATGTGACAGTAGGTAACTGCTCTTTTTTTTCAAGTTAAGGAGGGTTAAACCCCTTGCCTCTTCTCTCCTGCCCAACTTCCCAAACATATTCAGGTATTTCATTGGAAGACTTACTAGATTGTTACCTGAATTAATTCACAAGTACTTTGTTTTGCCATTTTCAATCGTGAGATTGTTGGCCAGGAAGGAAAAGATGACAGGTACTTAGGATACAGCACTGATTTCTGGGGTCAATGCCAAACTGGATAAACTTTTCAATGAAAGGTAGGATAGTAGGCTATAAAACAGACCTGCTTCTGAAAAAATGCCAAGATGTCCTGTTGAAAATGTTAGTTTCCCCAAAGGTTTTTGAAGAGGCCAAGGAGCATTGCTTACAGGAGCTGGCATCAGGACCTATTGCTGCTGTATGCTGCTGTCAGTTTTGTTTCTGAAACTTCTCCCTGTGGACATTGTCTTTGTGGGCTTTATAATTAATCCATGAGTCATTGAATGGCTGGAGGACTCCACTCCTCTTTTAGAACTTAGAAGAGGAAACCAACTCTTAAAAAGCTTGCTGTTAGATACCATGTATGTTTTACCATAAAGTTTTCTTTGACAAAGGTGGCAAATGTTTTCATTAGCCTTTTGCCTTACATCCATTAGATTGAATCATTAGGCTTAACAGTGGCTGACCTTGACTAGGGTAAGAGATAATTGCCAGTTTATTGCACTTTAACAAAATTAATGGATAACTGAAGAAGTGACTTTCTGCCTTTTTACAAACAAAAAACCCAAGTATTTCGTTGTTTTGTCTTTTGAATATTCAATTCATTATACCATAATTATAGGCTATATCTACATTTATGACTGGCAGTGTTTGCATTTCTTCAGGAAGCTTGTTTGTGTATTCTGAAGACTTGCCTTTTCAGTCAAACCTATTGTGTTGTAGCACTGTAAATAACATTTGAAATATTGTGCTATTCAAAGTTGTTTCTTAAAGGTTGAGGTTAAAGGGTAATATGTTTATTTTTAGAATCAATGATGTATTGGCCATGTTGTTTTTGATATCAACAATACATAATTATTAATCAATTAGGTTGGATGACCAGATGTAATTTCACTCTTTCTTTGTTGAAAAATAATCCCATCCATAGATTTTGTTTTATGACATTTTCTGACTGTAGCATTAATATGAGATGTTAAGCATTTTTAATTCCCAATTGGTTACCATTAAAATGAGTGTATTGCATTGACTCAGAGGTGAGGAAACTGCAGACTGTCTTGCTATCTGCAGTGCATGTTGGGCAGCATGAGTTTTTCAGATCAAGGTTTATTATTGCTAGTTTGGCATTGTATAGTAGAGTTTTCTTTGTTTTAACTCAGAACACTTCACAGCCATGTGATCAGGTAGTTGATGCAACAGAGAGTTGTTGCAATTGATCCTAGGGGAGTAGAGACCGTTCATTATGAATTGTTTTTATTCGGGGCTTTAGATCAGATTTTTTGTTATGCGTAATTATAGTTGAAAAGGACTTACCACACCCACTATGCAGTGTTTGAAGCCATTTGTAGACCTAAATCCTCTTTTTCCTTGACTTTGTTTCTCAGACCACCAATTCTCCCTAGTCCTTCTCCTTCAAAATCCATTCCAATCCCACAGCCCCTCCGACCAGCAGATGAAGACCATCGGAATCAATTTGGGCAACGCGACCGATCCTCCTCAGCTCCCAACGTCCACATCAACACCATCGAGCCTGTCAATATTGATGTGAGTACTGCTCACCCTTGGATCAGGAATAGGAGATGGGATGTGTTCCTGGTGGATATCAGTGTGTTGCATTTGTACACTATGGTTCTAAGATAATCCTCAGTGATATACCAGAATACTCAAAGATCATTTATTTTTCATTCTTTTAATAGATTATTTTTTGCTGTTGAGAGCTGTAAGAACACAATCCATTCTCTGAAAGCAGAACTGCCTTTTGACAGTTCTGTCCTTTTCATTTTCAAAGAAATATTCTGCCCTAAACAACTGCCTCTTTTTTCTGCCATTAGTCCCAAGACTTATGCTGTAGCCAGTAACCACTCTTGCAAACCATTCTGTGTTAAACACATTATGCAAGATTAGAGACTTTTTAGTATTTGTATTCCATGTAATAATTTTGGAATTGAAGGAAACTAAATAATTAAGCTGAGTTCACATATTCTGATAGTTCCTTAAGAGTTTAAGAGTCCAGTTTATGTTGTTCTGAGCATTCCTTTGGAGTGTTCAGAAACTGCTACTTTAAGATTTGTTCCACAATTTTGCAATCTCTGGATGGTGAACTGTAGCTAATAACAATGGTTGGTATTAGCATAAGGACACCTAGGACCTTTCAAGATGTTGCCTTTTGCTAACTTTGTTAACATACACAGTTGATATTTTATCCTTAAATCTGCTCTCTAGAAAATAGTCGTTTGTTGGGTGAGCAGACTTGAAATCTGCCTGGACACTGAGGCACAAAATCAGTTTTGCATGTGAGCTGAGGGAAAGGTGAAATGTTAATTTTAAGAGTGGCTGTGTAGGTATTTGCATGTGGAGTATGGCAGTGGTGCAGCTGAGGCATAGCCAGTGCTTTTGACAAAGCACAGGTGCATAAGGGAACAAATATAATTATGGAACAAGAAGGGAATAAATATAATAGTGTAATAAAAAAGTGCTCTATTATAAAAATGGACATACAGAAGGAAACTGTTAGAATTTTCTCCTTCTGTTTATAGAGTCCTTAATGTAGTTTGCTTTTAGTCTGGACATGTTGCAAAAGATAGTTTCAGCTCACAGAGGATTGCAAGTGAAGAAAGCCTTGTGCAGTTAGTCATTTCTGAGAAGAACAGTGTGCCTAGCTATGCAAATCAGATGTGTTGTTACAAGAAAAAACAAAGCAGCATTCATTTGACTGAATTCATTTGACTCAGTACAGCAAATTGATGTCCCAGGTTCTGATATGATAATTCAAACCATTTCTGCTACCGACTAGCTGTGTTTTTAAATCAATATTTTCTTGTCAGCATCCCTTTTGGGTGTTGTACATTTCTCTTTACTGCAGAGCGATGCTGTTTTAAAGCAACTTAATTTTGAGAAGTGTAGTAGTTCTTTGAGTCATTGCTATTAGTAAGTCAGGATAGGAAACCACTTTTATTTCATGGGCAACATATGACACTATGAATTCACAAACTTACCAGTTTAAATTGATTCCAGAATGTAAATGTTAACATCTAAATTAAACACAGCTTTTACTTTTTTTTTTATAGGACTTGATTAGAGACCAGAGTTTACGAGGAGAGGGAGGTAAGTAGCCTTTAAACTAACTGCTGTGTTACTTTTAATTACACAACTGTTTTGTCCTTTCCAATTACCCTACTTCCTTCTACAAAACACAGCCACAATGCAAAATATGACTAGAACAAAAAAGTGAATTTACATTTGCTTGTCCATGAACTTAGTATTTGTTTCACAAAGATTTGAGTCATTTGCTGGTCATTCTGGGAGTGGGGGAGACAGAAGGAGAAAAAGTTTTGAAGTAGTATCTAGTTTTTTTAGTTTTAAAATTACTTTTTTACTCTTTCTCTCACCCACCCACCCACACAAACTTATTCACTCACATGGCTGCACACAGATACACTACAACTTCCCAAAGATTTTTATGCCTGTTGTTACCTTTTCACACATGGAAACAACAGGGGTTTTCAATGAAAACCATCGTGGTAGATGAGCCTTCCATAGGAATTGCTGCATCCTAAAGCAGCTTGAAATACTCCAGTTCTTCTCCCCCTCTACCCCTGCTGAAGTGCTGCTTTGCTCTACTGCATGCCTGTGCTACTCTTGGAAGCAGATTAGTAGGATCTTACAGTAAAGCCAGGTCTTTTTATGTTTCCTTCAGGAACTCACTGCCCTAATTCAAAGTTAAGTCACAACTAGTGCCAGGGGGTTTATTTTTCTTTGTCTGTTGTGCACAGGCCTCTTAAGTCACTTCTCCCAGTGGTTGTCAAGGTCCCGAAGGAGCTTCTAATGTCCTGTATCTATTCCTATGAATATAAGAATAAAGCAGAAATATTGAAAATACAGAAATACTGAGTAGGGCAGGCATATAACCGGTTTTCCAACTCCAAATCAGTAACACAATTGCCTCCTACTGATTATAACTTGCTTCAGCCTTAAGTATGGGTCTGAATTACCGTAGTGCACCCTTTCCTGATCTCAAAGGTTTTGTACTCTGGGCTTTCACTCACTTTGTTTCTCCCATGCAAATCTGGTATTTGGTAGGATGTGTTGTGTTTGATGGAGCTGTCTTTAATAATGCCAGCAATAGGCACTTTAAAGAAAGAAATTACCTTTAACCCTGCAAGCTACTAATTGCAAATTGCCAGTTTAAGCTATTTTTTGTATGTGTTGATAGGTGTGGCTCTCCAGAGTTTTGCCCATTTTGTCCAACATTTAAATGTTGTGCAATCATGTTGGTTTTAACTTTTGATCATAAACCGTCTGCTTGGCATCTGAAAACAATTGGCTATTTCCAGTCCTGTAACAGTGTTCTTGGGAATTGACTTTTTTTCCTTCAAAGTACAGAAGAAATCTATGCTTAGGAGTCAAAGCATCCTAGTTATTTCCCATGACTTCTTTCATTTCTTCTATGTGTCTGTCTTTCTGTCTCTGCCTGCCCGTCTCTTTCTCTCTAACAGCCCCTTTGAACCAGCTGATGCGCTGTCTTCGGAAATACCAATCCCGGACTCCCAGTCCCCTCCTTCATTCTGTCCCCAGTGAAATAGTGTTTGATTTTGAGCCTGGCCCAGTGTTCAGAGGTAGTTGGGCTCTTCTTTCTTGTTTTCACCCAAACAAAATAAGTAAAACCACAGATGCTGTTTGTTCCTCACCCTCACACCGTGTGTATGTAAGTGTGTGAGTTTATCAAAACACCTCTGTTTTTTGCTTGGCCTGGCTGGAATGCTTTGAATGTGCTTTTCACACATACTCACTTTCACCTTTACACGCTTGAAAATGATTATAAATGAAGTCTGACTTAAATCTTCAAAAGCAAGGAATTTCATAGTTGAGGTTTTTCTGTGGACCTTAACATAATCTTTCTAAACAAAGGGCATTGGATTGCATTGCAGTGATTTTAAATATAAAATGATGTCCTTAACTTAGAATTTCCTTGACTGTTCAGTTTAAGTCAGTTGAGTGCTGTAACAGTCTTCCATATTTAATATTCTCTGTTTTGAAAAGTGATGTAGGTAATCAAATGTGAATTACAAACATTTCCATTGATATCTTGTTAGGTCTCAAGCTTTTCAAGCTATGTATCATGTCAGCTTTCAACAAGTACTTTATTTTAACAGTGTGCTAGTGACACCACATCGGGGCTCTAGGTGGTATTAGTAGTTTTTATTTAGTAATATTTTATTTATTTATTTATTTAGTAAATTTGACTGAAACAGTATTTCTGTCCCATACTATGTAAAATAAGATTAGATTAGATTTTTGTATCATTGGCTGAGGGGTAATTCAGGCCTTGAGCTGTCAATGGATCTGTTGTATTGCACAAAATCCCAAAAAAACTCTATGGGATTTCATATGCTGGAGAAACCAACTATTGAGTAATAGCATGAAGTGTTCATACTTGTGTCTCCACATAATATGTGTAGAAATGGTTAGTTCAGTGCATGTAGTGTGGTTTTCAAATGCTACCATCTTGGCTGTTTCAAAGACTCTTGTTTCAGAATATATCAAAAGCAGTTCACCTTTTGAACTCATAAAGATCTCCCAGAAGTCTTTGTTGTAAGAAGTCAGATGTTCCCAACAAGCAAACTGGCTGCAGAATGAGATATGTTATGTACTGCTTCAGAGTCCAAGCTATTGACTTAAATCCAGCATTATCTGAACTATTCTACTCTAATAACTTGAAAACAGCCCATCTGGTATTATTATGAACAGATTAACTACAGTGTTCTGCCATGTGCTGGAAGCATTTTTGGTGAAGGGTGAACATTGTGCTAGTGTTCCCATATTGCAGGATTAAAATTTAAAGAGGAGATTTTAGCTACTTCAAAGAAAATGCATCCCAGATCTTTGCTATTGCAGAGGAGATCTGTAGCCCAGTAACCTTTTGAAAAATTGCTCATGTTCTGGGAACATCATACATTTGATTCCATGTGTGTTTGATTTCACATGAATCATTTAATAAATAAATGACAGCCTAGTGGCCGTAACATGAACACACAAGTCCATCCTTCAAGTCACTGGCTTCCAGCTGCTTATAAATGTAGCTGGGATGCACGATATACATCATTATTGTTGCTTTAGTATGTGGGACAGTTTACAGATGCTGTGTCCCATTTTGTATCTGTTGGTATACAATTTTGTGCATCCACTTAAAAGTGCATTTTAGATTTTAGCTTAGTGAGTCCAGTGATGGATACATATAGTCTGCTAAATTAGCATGCACTGAGTAACTGAACTTAAGCCACAGTTTAAAAAGTCACAAAGTCCTAGTTGCCATTAGGAGATGCTTTTTGCTTAGGGGGGGAGCTTCTAAGAGAATATGGGGAGTATTGTCTTCTACCACTTCCCAGAGCACTGATGTGAGAGAAGGCAGTGGAATGTTTGAGGTCTTGTTCAATGACATAGATGGTTTAGCAAAGCAGCATGAATTTAATTAACAGTTGACCCTATTTTATGTCCTTTGCATTGGAAGGGTCAGCATAACCTTGTTAGGAATAATTGTGATGTGTTTTAAAAAGCAGTGTCTAGGTGAAGTGCTCTATTTGAAAAGGGCCACTGGGGCTCTGAAACAGCTCTCTCAGTAACATTTTCCTGCATAGATTTGTTTAGATAACCTACAGGCCACAGACATACTGTTCTTTTTGTGTTTCCTAGAATATGCTTCAAATAGCTAACTAACTAAAGTACTTGTGCTTTTTTAATCCTTTCTAAAGTCTAATTTTTTTAAAATAATAGTTCTCTGCTAACAGATAGCTTTAAAACAGCCAAATGATTTTCAGGTGGCACTTGGAGACTCAACCAGAAAAAAATTTTATTATTTGCATTTAGTCTATTTCATTCCAAAGTACAATAGTTCAGCTATTTGTTGGGTTCCTAAAAGCTTAGCTACAAGAAATATCAGAGGTAAATGCTGCTAACTAAAATGCTACTGTTCTCAAAGAAACTGATGGAATTTTAAAAATACATCTTCAAGTATTTTTTTTCTTACTAAAAAAGATGTTGTCTTTTTGTTAATTCATTAAGAGAATGGAGATTATATCAAATATATATAAATTTACACAAGGATGTTATATCAAATATATAGAAATCTATACAGGGATATTTGGTATAGTTTTGTCTTTTCCTGAAATCTGAGACATGAGCACTAATGTAATATTAGGACAATATTCCTGTATATGTTTGTTCTCTCTTAACATTCACATTGACGTTTAGAGATACATCTTAAACACAACTCTTGCACCTAATATCAATACATTCTTGTAAGGTGGATTCTTACAGATAAAACTATGCTATTTCTGAAATTCAGGCTCAGCTGCAGGCTTGTCTGCAACACCTCCTGCTTCCTTGCCCGGGTCACTAACCAATGTGAAAGCGTTACAGAAATCACCAGGGCCCCAACGGGAAAGGAAATCATCCTCATCCTCAGAAGACAGAAATCGAATGGTAAGGGAAAGATCAGCTCTTTTCTTCTGTAGAATTATTACACAACCATATTCCTCTCATTTTTCTTTCATCCAAGTTCTATAAATTATTTTGAAGATGAATATGGCAATGATCAAGGACTTGAAACCGATAAATAATAGAGTGGAATAACCCACTTTAAATCCATAAATAATTGTGGGACTGCTATATAAATAATTAAAATAATTGACTAAACTCACTTTTACTGGTGTGGTTGATGCTATTTTCCCTTCATGTAACAGCTTAACTTTTCCCACCACGATTCATTAACTTTGAACGTAAAAAATGTATGTAACATTTTTATGTAACAATATATGAAAACATAAAAACATCCACTTTTTTAAAAATTCACAGTTTAGTATTATGATTAACCAAATCAAATACTACTTTCTCTTTGGTGAGCATTTCTTTATATTTTCTGGTTTTAACACTGCCAGAAAGCTGTTGCAAATGTTTCATGCCAGGTAATAATTTGGCATACCTGTGTCCTGAGGTTTTGTGTAGGGCTAAGTTTAGAGGTGAAAAGACAACATCTGAAAAAGAACAGTTTTTTAGGACATTATTGATGGTGAGAATTTTTTAACAAAGGAGCTGTTTTCAGAGACATTAATGCACTTGTTTTCTTCCTTTTTATTGTTTTTGCACATATATAAAGAAAACACTTGGTCGACGGGATTCAAGTGATGATTGGGAGATACCAGATGGACAGATCACAGTTGGCCAAAGGATAGGATCTGGATCATTTGGAACAGTCTACAAAGGAAAGTGGCATGGTACGTGGCCATGGGGGCAAACAGCTGTTGTTGAGGAGGTCACAGTGCCTGCCAGGGCACACCCAGCTGCACAGCAGCTTCCCAGAAACACACCTGGGCTTCTGGGGGGCACCAGGCTGAGCCAGCAGTGTGCCCATGCCACAAAGAGGGAAAGTGGAAGCCCAGGGCACAGGGAATATTTCTCAGTCTGCTCTGGGGTGCCCTGACCCCCAGGGGAGCACTGACTTTGACCCTCATTCATGGGGAAAGTTTCCTACACTCCAAGGTAGACTAGAATACACAAAAGTGTGAAATAGATACTAGAGAGTAGTGTAGGTGTATCACTTGGTGAGAAATTTAGGTTTTGGGCTTTTTAGTATGTTGTGGATGGAAGCAAGATGAAGGGCACAGGGTGTCATCCTGGGATTCTTCTTCATGCTGCTTCTTCTTCTTCATGGGTTTGGGTGGCATTTTGTAATTGGGCAGAAAAGTCCACATTGCAGCTCTGTGGGTTAAAAGGGAAAATAATCTAGGTGCCAGTTCTTAATTGGCTAGTTTAGTTCTTAAAAGACCTTGTAACAAGAGATTGTTGGCCATTTTGTTCCTTCTAATGAAAAGCTGCCAAAGTCACAGTAGTGAGACTGTTTTACTGATAAGAAATAATCAACAACTGAGTCTAAACATGAATTACCGTCTCAAGTGCCTTCAATCCAGACCCAGAGAAACCAACAACCGGTACCCCAGCAACTGGGACCCCCACAGATGGGCTCCTGGGGTGCACTGTACATTGCCTGCAGGTTGAGGGAGCCAATCCTCCTCCTCAGCACTGGTGATGCCACACCTGGAGTGCTGGGCCCAGTTCTGGGCTCCTCTGAGCAAGAGAGATGTGGACATAATGGGTAGACCACAGTGAAGGGCAGTAAATATGAGTTTTAAATTAATAAGTGGTGTGCTAAATAACTAGTGTAAGAACTTCATATTGCTTGGAAACCCAACTCTTGCATTTTTTTCTGAACTGAGAAATTATTAGGGTAAAGATGAAACAGTAGAAAGGCAGAAGTATTCCTCTTGATGAATGAGGATTTCAGATGTGTATTTTTAATAGCTTTGACCTGGCTATGATTTCTCAGAGTAAAGTAAGAATAGTATTTCTACATTTTACTGAATATTGACTTTCTTTAAGATTGATTTATTTCATGTAAGCTAAAAAAACAGTGTATCCCAACATTTCTGATGCTCTGTACAGCATTCTCTCAAGAGAGGAATATGTATCAATGGCACTTAATAAATTTTCTGTTTTAAAGGTGATGTGGCAGTGAAAATGTTGAATGTTACGGCACCCACACCTCAACAGTTACAGGCTTTCAAAAATGAAGTAGGAGTGCTCAGGTAAGAATATTTTTAATGGCACGAAATAATGTGTGTAGATTTGTGCTTCATTAATCACTGACTTTTTAGATCTCCATTGGAACACATTGGTCTCACTCCTGTGTGATGATACTTCAGGCAGAAGAGATAACCATTTAAAAATATTTCTTTGTACCCATTATATGCATTTTTCTGCACACCTATGTTGTATGCAAACAATCAGAAGTAGTTTTTGCCAATTTACTATCCCCAGGGCACAGTCAAGCCTAAGTGTGAGCTGTAGGCCTTCCTTTCTTCTCATTCACATTTTGCAGTAGAAGGAGAACATGACTAGTGGTTGGTTTTTCAGCTGCAGTCCTGTCCATATTATCTGTTGTTTAATAGTTCCTGTTCAGTAACATAAATTTCTGAGTTTTTTTAATGTAATTCTTATCAAGTCATTTCATTATTTCCTTTTCTCATGTCTACTGCTTCTACTATCTCAGAGGAGATATTTGTTTTGTGTTCAGCTCTTAAAGATCCATCAGCATGACATGATAGAATATACATTTTGAAGAAACATTGCATCAAAGTACAATCTGGAGCAGTGTTGAGCATAATTGTGTTTTAAGAAACAAAATACCCAGAAGGTTTTTGTCCCAGGAAACCCGATGGGTTGAGCTGGGCACCTATGCTGTGGAAACATCCCAAAGAAGCTACAAGGAGAAAGGGAATGGTCAGCCTTTTACCCTTGGAAAATGTTAGTTCTGAAAACTCTTAAGCTCATAGTTGTGGAAGTAGAGGCTTTCTGGTGTGTGCTTCTTTGGATATCTCTTCATTTTCTTGATAGAATTTTGACAGAACTGAATGAAATCAAACATCTTAGTCCAGCTTTCTGCTGGTAGTCCCTTTGATGGAGCCCAACCTGTTTGATACATAGTCACTTGTTCTATCCTTTGAGCAGACAAGGCAGATTTACCTATAGTTGTGCTTTCTCCATTAGGATTTGCAATTTGTTTCTTCAGCAGTTACTCTCAGCATCACTTGACAAGTTCTTGAACTTGAACAGGGCACAGTCTCACAGCATAGCACTGTCCTAGCCCACATTGCTGCAAGGACAAAGCCTCACACGCTGGCATCTCATGTTAATTTTTTAATTAAAGAAAACATAAAAGAGCTCTGACATTTTTCAGTTACCCCAGAGTAGTTATTCCATGTTAGTATGATAAGAATGGCTAACTTCAGAAATAATTCATTAAATTAATCTAACAAGAGGTTATCATAGTAAAAGTTGAGATTGACCCAACACCACCTGTTTGGAAATATATTTGTGGACTGTGATAGATCTGCCTGTTTTCCTGATTTCTTGACCTGATTTCCTCCTGATTCTTATGTTTTTGTAAACAGGAAAACACGACATGTGAATATCCTGCTTTTCATGGGTTATTCAACAAAACCCCAGTTGGCTATTGTTACACAGTGGTGTGAAGGGTCCAGTTTGTATCACCATCTACACATCATTGAGACCAAATTTGAAATGATCAAGCTAATTGATATTGCACGACAGACTGCACAAGGCATGGAGTAAGTACTGGATTACTTGTCTGCAAGTGAGCACTTGGGCAGTGTTTACTTATCCTCTTCACACTCTGGCTGACAGAGGCAAATAAGGCCAGCTCTGTGCTCACTTTGCTGAGCCCAGGGTCCTGTCTCAATCATCAAAACATTTGGTGAAGGTATCAGAGCTCTCTGAATAACAGGTTTCAACATCTGAAGAGAACATCCCCATTTTGTTCTAAGGATTGTAAATAATCCTTACTCCCATAGAGGGCCATCAAGTTAGAATTTACCAAGCTAGCCAAATATTGTGTGTCAAAATGAGAACATTGCTGTAAGACCAGAGAAATTGCACTTCAGCTGAAAAACCACTATGATGACTGCAGTTCGTTGTGCCATTTTTCTACTCAGTATTCCATTACATTTTCAGTCAAGAGGCATGGAGGTGTTTGCAGCAACCAGCCTTAGCCTTCTGTTAGCCTGTGCATCTCCCCAGGCTCCATCTGTAGGTAGGGGAGATGCAGAAGCTGTTTTGTGAACACGATTCAAAGCAGAGACACAAATTGGGGCTTTTCCAGCAGTTTTGTGCCAATCTCATTGACTAAACAAAGAGCCATGGGAGACTAATTCAGGCTGTATCTGCTGTGGGGCAAGTGCTTTCCTCTGTGTTCCCTGCCATCTGTTTATCCAGGCTGCAATCAGGGGATCTTTTTTCCACTCCCCTGCTAAAAAGCAGTCAGTGTACCCAAGTACACATTGAGACTGGAGAGCACATTTAGCTCCTGCAATTTAGGAACACCTTATCTAAAGCTGTGACTAACTCACAAAGTCTTGACAGTCCCCATTAAGGCTGGGAGGCAGAAATTTCAGCACAGAATTGCATGAAGAAAATTAGTGAAGTTCTTTTTACTGTGAATATTGAGTTAGAATTGAAAAGCAGAATTTTGAACATAATTGTTATTCAGCACTAGCATCAGATTTGAGCTGGAAGTCTAAGCTTTATTTTATTTCTTCATGTAAATGTTGCAGAAACTGTCATGGGTAACTGAAGTTTTACTGCCTGCATAAATGTGCAGTTTGAATGTCAACATAATTTGTTTCAGTAGTACAGTGAATTTTGAGTTGTTGATTAGTGCAGTATTATCTAACCCACCTAATCTGTGATATTCCTTTTCAGTTATTTGCATGCCAAGTCAATCATCCACAGAGACCTCAAGAGTAATAGTATCCTTTCCCAGAGATCTAATTTTGGAAGGTGAAAGCATTCCTGGTTTTTGTTTTTTTGTATTTTTTCTGCCAGAAATTAACTTAGTGATATGAAAAGCTGCTCATGTGTGAATATTTGCCAAATAGAAGTTTCGCTGAGAAGGGGTAATAGCAATAATAACAAAATAGGAGATGCTTACTGTGTCTTTTGATTCAATTGCAATAACACAGGGAGTTTTAGTTGGTATCACAAAGATTTTTTTGCATCCTTTGGTTTCTTCATGTAATGAAAGATTATGTGAGTTGGCTCATGGAACATTTTCAGCTTTTCTCATACTTGGCACGTCATGAAAGCCACCTGGCCATGGTCTGCTCAGCAGTGACCCAGGCATTACTTAGATAACCCTTACCTACCATAATTCACCATGCTGGCTGCTTAAAACCTGTGTGATGTGGAAACCTTCTTCAGTGATGCTGAATGCTTAAAACTGTCCTGTTCATGTTGCAAATTTGTAGCTGTTCATTGTTCTTTTAGGACAGGACCAGCACTGCTTGTCTGTTTTCCCTTAACATTCCCCCCTTAGATATTTTTCTTCATGAAGACCTCACAGTAAAAATAGGTGATTTTGGTCTAGCTACAGTGAAATCACGGTGGAGTGGATCCCAACAGTTTGAACAGTTGTCTGGTTCCATTCTATGGATGGTAAGCAAGGGGGAAGTAGTGAGCTTGTTTCAACAAATTTATTTACCTTTGGCCAAACATCCTGCTCCTGTCCCTCTGGCACATTGACATATAAAAGTTGGCTTAAGCTGGTAAAGACAAGCAGTAATAGGAAGTAGTAAATGAATGTTTTTCAATTTTTCTTTAGGCATGTGTTTTCCAGTAGTCAGCAGAAAAACTTTAGTGTCTCCATCTTTTATTCTGAGGTTTATACTGAAATGAAAATAGTGGCTAAGGAAAATGAATTGTAAATTATTATAATTAACTAATTATGTATCATTAATCTAGGGTTGAGGAGAAGGTGAGAAAAGCCTTGCAAAACATCCTGCAACAGAGTAGAGGAACTAGCTCAGGAAAAAGTAAGATGCCCTTAAGTTTTAAGGATTCAAGAGGAGTTGCTTCATATTGCAATCTCCTGTGCAGCTCCACTTCCTCTTTTTCTCCCTGGAAAAGCTTAAAGCCCTGTTAGCTGGCATTAATTTCAGTGTCATTAGAATTCTAGTTTCAAAATATGTTTTCAGCTTGGCCGAGGTAATTTTTCTGTCATAGAAAAATAAAAGGGATCACCAAGCTGAAATGAAGCAATGAATTTTGAGATTCATGTCAGCATCCACTCTGTATTAGGACCCAGTAACACCTGAAGGCAAGAGTGGGCCTTGCACCTGTACCCTGGCCATTTCCATGTTTTGCTTCTGGGAGGTGAGGTGCAGCACAATGGAGAGAAATGAAAACTAATTCTTGCTTTTTCTGATACAGGCACCAGAAGTTATTAGGATGCAAGATAAAAACCCCTATAGTTTTCAGTCAGATGTGTATGCATTTGGGATTGTTCTCTATGAATTGATGACTGGACAGTTGCCATACTCCAACATCAACAACAGGGACCAGGTAAGGGGAGGCACTGACTTCAGTCAAGGCTGGTCTGAAACAGAGATTGATTCAGACTTGGGTGGGCAACTTTCTGATGTTCTGTGTGTTTCATGTTTCTGATTCTCATGCTGTGAGATGACATTTCTGCATTTTCTAGATCTGCCTCGTCCACATAGCAACAATTTACTTAATTCTCTTGAGGTTCTTTTTATTTTAAATATAGATTTTCAGTTTCCTGACTGGTTGCCAGGATACTTATTAGGGAGAGAGCAGATTACTTAATAGTAATCTAGTTTAGAATAGTTCTGCAGAGGCAAAATGTTCCCCCCATATGTGTGTTCAATTATTCTTCTCATTCCCCCACCCCTCCACTTGCAGTGAATAATAAATAGTGCAGCTACAGGACTGACAAAACAGAAGAGCAGTCATCTCAATGACTGTTTTATATTCATTTCAACTTTGAGAGAGCATGCACCATCTAACTGAACTGCAGGATATCTGCATTTCTCAAATCCTGCTTGTTGGACAATATAACTTCCCAGAGTCTGGGGATCCTATAAGGAGATTACTTAATTGTGAACAAATATTCCATAACTCTTAATGATCCCACACACTGTAGTACATCTCCATGGGACAGGCATGTTTGGGAAGGCATACCTGATTCATGATTTCTGTCTAACCTGAAAATAGCATTTGTGCATCAAGATCTTTGATGTAAACTATTCTGTGTCTGAGCAGTGATGTATTTGTTGCTTGTGTGTCCTCATCCCTTGTTTTTTCACTGTCAGTACTTGAGAATTGAAACCATAGCAACGTTCATCTGTGAATGCCATTTTATAAGGCTGCTTCCCTATCTGCCAGAACACTTCATCCCAATTCATCAAATTTGGAGTGACTCCTTTTTAGTTTTCTTTTTCTTTTTTATCATTTTGGTTTTGCCTTTAATGTCTGGATTCCTGGCCAGATGATCCAGCCTTCTAAAAACATTATTTGGCCTTGTTTTTACCTTTTGAGGTCTCAAAGATCAACCCAGTGATGTGGGGGCTTAGAATGAAGTGCTGAAACAAATTTTAAAATGCAAGTGAAGCCAACAGCTGTGATCTGATGTCTTCAGTTTTGTCACTCCTTGTCTATTATATGAAAAGTTGCAAATATTCCTCACTCTGGTGCATTTACATCAGCTACTATGACACAACCAAGATTCTTAGTGAATAAAGTGTCATTCTTGTTATACCTCAGAGTGTTTCTCTCACTTCAACAGATTTTTCTAGACTGTTCTTGTAGTGATACTCTCTTTAGTCTAAAATAAAAGATCAGTCCCTATATTATTTGTAATGAAACTATTTGAAACATAAAGAGTAATGAATTTTGAATAATTTCAACTTGTGCTATTATTTAGAAAATACCAACTGCTAGATAATGGGAAGTCTGATTGCAGCAGAGGTAAGGGATGCAGTACACAAGTCTCTACTACAAAATCTTGCTCAGCACATGGGGATTTCTAAAGGAACCATATGGGAGTTTTCTGTTCTTCTGTGATGCCAACACAGATGTGACTGAAGCAGAGTTAAAAAAGGACCAGGAGTGTGTTAGTATAAATAACATGGACAGCATGCTTGAGATGGGAGGCTTTTCTGCTGTGTGGTTGGTTTTTTTTTCCCAGTGTCAAGATATGAAATAGTTAGACTTCATTAGAGAGAAGGTGTGATAAACCTGCTGGGTTGTCTGAGTTCTCAGAAAAGGCAGTGATTACTGCTGCAGCATGAATGGATCTTTGATTAGCTGGTTTGCAAGTGCTTTTTAGCGTTAGTGCTACTGCAGTACCCAAACCACGTTGCAAATGACCTTGGCTTGACATGATGATGTTTGATGGTTTTTTATATATACAAGAGATGATTAACCATATTTATGTTTTGTTTTCCTGCTTCCTATCAGTTACTTGGTTTTATCCTGAAGTTTTATCCTTAGGGAAAATATAAGCCTCCCATGTTGAAAGAATTACTGTAAAAATACCAAGCCTGTCTGTCTCCTCTTCTACAGAGAAGAGGGAGTTTCTCTTTTTCTTTTGAGGTGTTTTTTCTTTTTTTTTTTTTTGTGAGAGTGGGGAAGGTGGTCAAATGTCAAGAATAAGCTAATGTGTTGGAAAGTATGTGATGGAATCAATTCTCAGAAAGTAAATGGTTTTAATATCCAAAGTCCATTCGTTTCTTAAAATACCTTTCAATGTGAAGTTGTTGTTGATTTGTATTATAAAACAGAATATTTCTTTTTACAGAATTTTTATTTTTAGACATTCTGTTCCTGCCAGAGTTGCTTGTTCTTGTTTTTGTCAGCTTTTGACACCGAAGAACCATTCCTTAGATGGTTATTGCTATAAATGGTAACCATTTACTAGTGTTCAAGTTCCACAGAAATCTCTCTGAGGAGGAGGAAAGATCTAATTTTTTTCTCTGTACTGAATAGGTTAGCAGGCATTACTCTAAGAAATTTGTCAATTTCAATATCAGCTAATGTTTCCTGGGAGCAGAAAGCTTGTTGCTGCAACCAAAATAGTCTAGCAAAATGTTCACCTTTTGTGACTATTTATTTTATCAATTCAGCTTCTTCCTCTTTCATCTGTTTTCCCTTTAAATAAAGATAATTTTCATGGTGGGACGAGGATACCTATCTCCAGACCTCAGCAAAGTACGGAGCAACTGTCCCAAAGCTATGAAGAGACTAATGGCAGAATGCTTAAAAAAGAAAAGAGATGAGAGACCCCTTTTTCCACAGGTGAGAAATGCTCCTCTTTAGTTCTCAACAGACTTTACAATTCCAAGTTGTGAACTCACTGACCAGTTCCAATTTTTTTTTATTAGTGCTATGGCAGGATTTCATAAGAGACCTGGTTCAGTACTTGGTTAGGTCTGTTTAATTAGAAATGCTCATTTTCATTTCAAAATCAGGTATTAAAATGACCTGTGTCTTTTGAAAAGTATTTACATCTTGGAGAAAGTTTCAGCTGAGAGATAATGAAAGCAATAGTTACAGTGAGACACACAAATTAGTACTTGGTAAATGTACTCAGAAATGTTTACACTGCCCTCCTTGCTCTCCCCCAAGCTTCATGAAGGGAAACAGTTTTGCCACAGAGCTTAATTTTTATCGTGCCTGCTAAGGAAGGTTTGGGCTCAAAAAGCTTGAGGGGGGAGGAGGGCAAAAACCTGATTTTTTTTTCCTGTTTTGAATGTAAACCAAATCGTTTTCAAAAGATAAGGAGCTCCCCCTGCTGACTTTTTGGGAAATGTTGTTAAGCAAAACTGGCAGAGCTGGGTTTGTTTGCAGCAATGGCAGGTACAGGTACTGGGGCATAGACAAGGAGTCCAATAAAAAGCAAGTGTTTTCACTGTGCTTAGAGGGAATCTGTGCCTTTAAAAAGGGGGAAATTCCTCAACTGTCGTTTTCAGCTTCCTTAGGATATAAACATTAAGAGTGCAGTGCAGTAAGCTTTATTTTAAAAATCCTTTTTTAAATACGTGTTTAAATATTTTTCCGTAGTTAGTTGATACTGTGCCTTTGGTCTTAAGAGAGTCACAGCTTTGGAACAGCAAGTTTGATTATGTATTTTCTGTGTTTTAGATTCTTGCCTCCATTGAGCTTCTGGCCCGGTCATTGCCAAAAATTCACCGCAGTGCATCTGAGCCCTCGTTGAACCGGGCTGGCTTCCAGACAGAGGATTTTAGTCTATATGCTTGTGCTTCTCCAAAAACACCCATCCAGGCAGGGGGATACGGTGGGTTTCCAGTGCACTGAGCCAAAATGTGAAAGCATGTGCCTGTGTGTCTGTGTGCTGGTGTGTCCTGTGAGTGCCAGGTGTTTGTTCTCACTTCTACCAGCTCTGATTGGAAGGGTTACTGAGGGAACAAAGGCTCACTTCCTACCATTGGGCACTGAGTGTTGCCAGCACAGTCTGTGTTGGTAACTGGTGCCCTGGGAACAGCTGGCACAAGAAAAGCTGTAATGTCACGTAAGAGACATGGAAAAGTCACTTCAAAACAAGCAAAAATCTTCTTAAGGTCATCAGGTGTCATTTTTGCCTAGTTTATTGATTGGAATTAGTTACTCAGGAGTGTATTTGATTTGAATCTACTCAAGCTGTGGTTGTCTGTTGTTTTGGGGGTTTTGTGGGGTTTTTTTTTTTTACTTCATTTAAGGTCATTATATTTGAGCAAAAAGCTTTAGATTCTTCATTTAGTTAGGCTATTCATGTGGGAAACACTTGGAAAGATAAACTTATCTTCAAGGCTGAACACAGTCAAAACTTTGTTGTGGTCAGCAGAAGTGAGCAGGTACAACACAGAATCCAAAGAAAGCCCTGAATAACATGTAACTCTTATCTTAAAAGTGAAAGTTTAAATTAGTACTGTTTAGGGAACATTTCTCCTACAGAAGAGTGGTAAATGGGTTTTTTTATGTTACCTTTTTCTCTAAATATTCTGACCTGATATAGTTTACACCATCTCCAAATGTTCTGTTACAATGCAACACAGAAGAAATTCTGAATGTGCTGTTGCCAAACTGAAAGGCATTACTGGTGATGGTGCCTGTATCCTTCAGTTAGTACGGATTTCAAAATTTATAAAAACATTTTAAATCTCAAGCATGACCAAGTGCTTTAAGAGGAAAAATGCTGCTAACACCCATAATAGGAAAAGAAGATTTGAAAAAGCAGTTTTGTTCATGGAAATCAGTGTTATACTACAAATTTTATTAAGATGAAAAGTGTTAATTACTTTAATATTGTTAAGAATACACTGAACATGCTTCTCTTCAGAGGCAAATTGATTTTTTCACTTCCATGGAAAAGCTGCTATTTGACTAGGCAGAAGTGAATCACTTGGAATAAATATCTAACTGAGAAAGTTAGACACCTTACCAAAATCCTCCTCACTTTGGAGACTGTATTTTTCTCTAGAGCATTTCTCTAGAGCAAGTGCATCAGAGTAGTGGTTTAGGTAATATCAATCTTTAATGTCAGCTATGAAAAAAAAATGTACAGACAGTGTTCTTGTATGTTTTGAGATGAGTTATGTGGTTTTACTTAGCTTAAACTGCTGAGCTGTTAATTCTTACAGGTTACTCTGCATTGGAAACAAGCTGTTGCTGCTCTTGTTGGGACTTCAAGGGCCAGGGGTGTTCCTAGTTAGTGGTATCTGATTTACATACTCACAGAGAAGTTTGCTTGTTTCTAGTAATACATTTTTGAAATAGATCAGGAATTCCAAAATGTTTTGGTTTACTGCCGTCTGGCAGCTGAGCCTTTTAAAATGGGAAGCAGATTTAGAGAGCTTGAAGAGATATAGGCAATTTTTACATTTTCTGGATGGACTATAATGGTCATTTTGGCTTCTGCTGTTGGAATAGTTTGGGAACTAACTTTTCTCCTTTTCTTAGTCAAGGAAGTTTAGCTGTTAAATTTCTCTTTATGGAAATAGTTACAGAGGACAGAAGTTGTTATTGTTTTAGAAAATCTGTTTCCCATCTTCCTCATAGCTTCACCTCATTTTGGCAGGCTTATCTTAAAATGAAAACAGTACTGAAGTGTTGTTTTCTTCTTTCATTCTCTATTTCATCTATCTGTTCTAGCACTGATGAGGAATGTTTCCAGAGCTGTGGGGTGTGGTATTTAGGACAGAACAAGAGGATGCTACTGGGTCTCCTGCAGAACTTAGAAACGGGGCATCCCACACAGAAAAGTCTTACCCACACAGGGATTTACAGGGAGTGCAGAACCATCCCCACTGCCCTGCCCAGGCTTGTTCTTGTTCAGGTCTGCCACATCAGTTCAAACCAGTCGTTCCTTGGAGCAGTGTTATCCTTCTTGTTGTTAGGATTGTTCATCTGTGCTGTCAGAGCCACAATTATGGGGGGAAGTGCTGCCATCCTTAGACACATTTGGCCCCATTTCCTGCTGGATGGTCAGTGCATTCTTCCTGTGTCACCTGTTCTTACTGAGCACTTTGGGTTCCATGGCCATAATGGGATTTTAGCTTCTCACTAAACACTTTATGAAGCCTAAAAGGAGGCTGTTTTGTGGATCATTAACTTTATCTGACAGAGAGGCATTTAGAGGTCTCATTTCTGTAAGTTCTAATTGCTGCTTCAATGAGATTTGGAAGTATCTGTGAGAGGAAGGTGCCTAACTACACTTGTGGATTTGGGTCAGTGTTCTCAAAGGTGTAACTCAGTTGTGTTGTTTAGAAACAGACACCTGTTGGGTCAGCAAACATGCTTGTAGGATCCTAGGTTTTTCTGGAGGAGTAATTTATACTAGGTGAGATTCCTTTTGATTTTGCTTCCCTGCATATCAGTACAGAAACAAAATCTGTCTTGCTACTTTCAGCATGTTCCACATTTTTACTTACCTAGTGGTTAGTATTCATACAAAAAATCAGCACAGGATCCAACAGAAAGCTACCTCCTTTTTTTTTTTCTGTGTCTGTAAACCAGGCATGGTGTTGGAATCTGGTGTTTCCCTGTGATATATCAGTCAGTCTCTAGTTCAGTAGGTAAGGCTGGCACAGCCTGGAAGGGAACCATTCTTCTCCTTAGGATTCTTCTGAGAAACGTGGCATCTACCCCAGGATAAGGAGTACAGTTAAGATGATGTGTGCATACCTCAGTAAGCCCATGAATTCAGCTAGCTTACAAATTTGTGAGAGTACAGAATGGTAGCTGCACCTTAAATCCTTCCAGGAATTGGGGGTAGCAGGTTCACTCAGAACATGCCCTTGTAATGCATTGTTTGTAGGCAACATGAACGATCTTGATCATCTTTTTACTACAGATTTTTTGAAAGTGTGCATTTAAAATAGTTTCCACTTGCTCTGCATGAGACAAGCATGAAAAGACTGTAGTAGCTGACTTGAAAGGGGTTTGTAAGTGTGTATTTTCAGATGCTATCCATCCTTTGGAAAGAAATTGCTACCAGTCAAAGCAAATATCTGCAGTTCTGCCTGATAAAAAGCACCTCAGATGTCTGGCTCACAATGAATATAAATATCTGGGGATTGTTCTTGTAGCAAGTTGCTAAGCATGTGGTTTCATAGCTTGGTGTGGATAGGTATAGCCATGTACATATCTCAACTAGGGAGAGCTGTTACTGGCAGCTTCACGTTACACATGTTCAGCCAACATAATCCCCTTATTAGATGACCATGTTACCTATTTGGGTCTCCTATTGATTTGAGATCAGATTAACACTGGAATTTTGCAAGGAGAGATTTAGCGTTAGCTTTTCAAAGAAAATATGGTTGCTAAGGTTTTGTTTAAATGGCAGCAAAGTCTAAAAGTTACCTTTTTAAAGCTACCATTCTATTTCAAAGAAGTAGAACTTCTGGTCCTGTTTTTCTATTGATCTTTCCCAACTAAAGGTTTTTTTTTTTTTTTTCTGAGTGTCCCTATATGACTATTAAAATCTGAATTATTACCAGAAGTTGGCAGAAGGACAAGATGAGTAATGAGGGAGCAATCTCTTCTTTATACATTTATATCTTTAATCACCAGTTTAAAAAGGCAGACTGAAAAATAAATTACATAGAACATGTTTTGTAAGTGTAGCTAAGCATAAATGTCACTTAAAAATTGACCTCACAGGCAATATTTGGTTACTTTTTTTGTCCTTCTCTTAAAAGAAAACATGTACAAAACTTGAGGTGTTTCTAGAAGATACTGTGAAGAGAGTTGAGAAGTCAGTGAAATGTAGCAAAAAAAGGCAAGAAAAAATTATCCAATATTTAGAGTATTTGGAGCAAGAGTTTCATTCATCTGGTGGTAGAACTAGTAAATTAGGCAATTAGATTCATCATAAAGCTTTTATTCTATTGTTGTTATACCTTAAGCCACCACAGTCCATAAAGACACATGGAGCTTGAGGCCTGTCACAACTCCCTGTGCCACCCTTACTTTGGACTTAGGGTGTACTCCCTTGTCATTCCCTACAAGGCACAGAGCCCTTTCCCTGCTTTCTTCAAGTTCCCTTAGAGCTGGGTGAGCTGTTCCTCACAGGCCTTTTAGATGCCTTTTCTTCCCCCTCCTAGTGCAGACAGCTGACTGCTCTTCTTGGTTCTGCTCTTTGTAGAGCAAGACATTCCACAGAATTAACACTCTAAGCCTAGAATTTTGTTTGCAGGGATGTTTCTGTTTTGTTTCCAGTATTCAAAATAAGAATCTTGAGAAAAAACAAAGCCAACAATACAATCACTCTTGAAAAGATGGAAGGACAGCAGATAGGGAGCAGTTGTTTGAATGTAATGGCATTTAAAACCCTTCTGTTGAACAGAACAAAGGCTCTCTTGTGCCTGCTTATCACTCCTTCAGTATTAGGGAAGCTCTGAGAAGTGCTGTCAACAAAGTGGCATAAACTAACCCAAAATGCATATGAAATTCAACAGGGGGAATTATATGTATGTTTCTTTTCTCTTTCTCCTGAGTCCTTTTGACTGTGCTTAGTTAGACACCTCTCACTAAAAATCCTGTAGAATACAATTCTTTGTGGGTGGCAGGGATTTTTTTTTTTTTTTTTTTTTTTTTGCTAAAGTATAGGATTAAGAGGATTAATATCTTAGACTCAGCTTCTATTCAATCTTCTGTCAAACTCCTGAAAGACTTCAGGCAGCAATTTTACTCTGTGCCATAGTTGCATCCCCTCAGAAGTGGGACTATGAGTGTGTCTCACGGCACGGTGACACTAAATAAATTATGTAGGGTTTCCGGACATCATCACATGTGAAAGCACTGCGTATAATTGTTCTTTATTCAGTAATTTCGAAGGAAGCATGGAGTTGCTTTATTTATTATGCTCCCTCTTAGTGAGCCCGAATTTCTGGTCTGGGATTGAATAGACAATCTCTCCGTTCTTATATTTCTGTCAGTTGCTATGTTGTTCTCTAAACCAAATCCTAGCACTCTGTAACATTGGTTTTCTATTCAGGCACTTTATTGTATATAGTCTTTAAAAGGTAATGGATGTCTCATAAAGTTCTTTGTTATTAAATTAATTTTACAACAGAACAGAACTGGTTTGCAGTTGGATGCATTTGTTGAAACTGGTGCTTCTCAGGAGGACATATGTGCAATAAGGAATTTAAAGTAAAATTAAGCTCTGACACATTTAATTTTCAAATGCATGATGAATTAGACTTTGCTTGAACTTTCACCTTCTTGGGAAGAATGGGTACGGCTTGCTTTTAAGAAATCCTTTGTTGGTTAAATATGCTGGGTCTGTATTCAATGTTCTCTCACTGTGTATTCTCTCATGCTTTAATTTTAACAGTTTGCATTTTTTAACATCTTTTATATTCAGCCTGATGTTCAACTAGTCTCATAACTGAAATCACCTTTTTAAACCAAGCTCTTGTCCTCCCTCTACAGGAGAATTTGCAGCGTTCAAGTAGCCACAGCACCATGGCAGCACCCACTCTGTTATTTAAGTCTTGTGTTCCTACAGTTTCTTAACATCAAAACTCCATTCTGCTCCGCAAAACCTAAAGTAATTTAGAAAAGATATCCATAAGCTTAAAAGTGGAGCAGAATGGAACCACCAGTCCAACACAATGGGAAAAAGTACCTTTTTGGGAACCAGAGTCCTCTGCTGCCAGTGTTTCTCCTTGGACACAAACCACCCCGTGCGTTGGAGACCTGCGGTGGCTGCCTGTGCCGTTGGCATCGCTCCCGGAGAGGAGAGGGCGCTCGTGGTGTGCCTGTGGTGCTCGGGGCGGGGACGGAGCTGCTGCTGCTGCTGCTGAACTGGGAGCCTTGCTTTGGAGGGGCTGCCGGCCGCCTTGCTCCCTCTAACAGCGTCACCATCAGAGCCTCGCCGGCTGATGAGCGCTCATCTCAGCCAATCATTTCCCATTCTGATCCTTTTTTTTTTCCTGGTGTACTTACTGATTTATGGACAACGCAGTATCCCCTTTTCGCTGTGTTACAGTGTCAGACACCTCAGTCTGTCTATATTGCTGGGGTTTATTCCTTTAAATTTTAACGTGTGGGGCAGTGGGAGCTGGAGATGTTATTCTGAAGGCAGAGAGGTTCATCTGAAGGAAAAGGGGATGCTGCCATACCTTTTTTCAGATTTACTTTACCGCTTCTTAAAAAGAACAAACAACAACCACCATCCTTAACCTTTTTCCTTTTCCAATATTTTCTTGGTGTGTGCATATACAACATCTTTTTGAAGGATTAGGTCGATCCTTCTTTTGTTGGTCCAGCAACAAACTGAAGTTTAAAAAAAATGTAGCGAGATTGTCCTCTCTTTTATTTTTTTTTGTATCATATGATACAATGTATTTATCAAAGATGCTACTGCAGCATCTAAAGTCTGTAGAAATCCTGATACAGACTGTGAATGGTGTATGTACCTACTTTAAAAGTTTTATTTTAAACGAGGGTGCAGGTTAATGCCAGGTACCTTACCAATATGTAATGTTTTCATAAATGAGGAAAAAAGTTCTCAGGTTGAATTGATTTCAAATACAATCCCCCTCTAGAATTAGACATTCCAAAAATTATGTTTTGGTACTTTCAAGAGCTTTTTTTAAAGGATTTTTATCCTGTTAACTACACGTCCTCTGATAAGTGTGTGTGTAAATGTGGAGCATCTTGTCCTAATGGCAAGTTGTTAGATCAAAACAAAACGGTACTTGCTGGATCCACGCTGACTACTCCTGCTCTCATTGCTTTCCTCCCTGTCAGCTCTTCCCTTCTGCTTGTCTTTCCCCTCTGTACACTTTGCAAACTAGGACGAAGGTGGCGGTGTCTCCATTAGAGTGCTTTGTTTTCCTGTCCTCCAGTCCTGGTTTTCAAATGGTTAGTAGCTTTTTGAAAAGTTACCCAGTCAGGGAAAACAACAACTCATAGAGTTCTGCACATCATTTACCTCTAGTAGAATATCTTGTGATGTGATCTGCTTGCAGAGTTCTCTGGTATGTGGTATTACCTGTAAATTATTTGTACAGAGGCAAGGCAGACCACATTGGAAAGAAACTCAAGCTCAGACAGAAGTTTCCAGAAATTGATTCATATCAGCCCTGTACCACTCCAGGTGAGGCAGGAGAACTGACCCCCCCCTCTAGCAGAGAGGTTTTTGCTGGGAGGAGGTGGGGAGTGTTTAACAAAATCACGACAAATAAATGAAGGAATTAAATGTGTGTGAATGTGGTGTCCATGCTAAACATGGATGTACCGAGTGAGGGTGCTGTCCTTCCCTCCCTAGGGGAAGGGGACTGTTCCTGTCTGCAGAAGGTTGCTCCCAGATGAAGGGAGAAAAGCACATCAGAAGTAGGTGATGGTTTTAATACCCTGGAATATTGCGGTGTTGCTGGTAGTCTGTTACGTTTGTCAGTAAATATTTACTGGGGCTGTAGGGACCAGACTGATCTGAAGTGGGAATTAAAACTGAAATACTGTGTATTCATATTAATTCCACAAACATTAGCAAGATAGCAATAGTGAATGACTTAATAGTCACTACAGGAATGAAGTGATTCATGTTGGTACATGAACAGAATTGATTTTGTGTATGGGACGCATTTTAAAAACAAAGGAAAAAAAAGCACAAATTTTTTTCTTGTCTGCTGTGGGTCTTCAGATGCTGTAAGGTTTTTACCTTAATGAGGTTGGCAGGAATTTAAAAAGTAGCAATAGCCACTTTCCAGTGTGGAGAGGCTGATGCAGAGCAGTGGTAGCAGATGGTGCAGTCGGAGTGCTCCCTGGTGATCATCTGAGGCCAGTACCTGAGAGCTGGAGGGAGCCTGGGGCACTGGTGGCAGCAGGCAGGTGAGAGCATTTACCAGATACAGGCTCCCAGGGGGAAAGGAGTCCCTGCTTCTCCTTTCACCCCATGCTTGGCTCCAGCCCCTTTATGGGCTGTGGCCCCATTTGTACGTGCCAGGGATACTGAGGTCAAGGTTCTCTCAAAAGAAGCTGTTAACAGAGCAAGTATGGACAGGTGGTTCAACACTCATTTGTTTCACAGATCATTAAAAGCTCTTGTTGCCTTCCACCAAGTCATGCTGGCAGAAGATTCTGTTAGGAACTTCATTCTATCTTTGCTTAAAATGAACTTACTTTGGTAAAGATTCATTACCCATTAGTCTACAATATGCTTCTTGAGCCCATAGGAAAAGCACAAGGAAAATTGCTATCCTTGTCCATGCAAAGCACTTTATAAGTAACACATGATCTCTGGGGGTTTTGTGTTGGGGTTTGTTTGTTTGTAGTTTTGTTTTTCTTTTTTTGTTTCTCGTTTTGTTTTATTTTTTTTTCCTGAGGAATGTGCAAGTTGTTTGGCTGCTGTTTAGAGAAGTCCTTTCAGGATGCATTTCTACTGGTTTTCTCGTTTGTTTGTTTCTCTCCAGATAGCTGTAGTAATGTGTGTTTGTCTGTAAGAGTTCCCAGGTAATGCTCATACAAAACTTTGAAAGAAATGTAGTTTGTAAATAATTGGGATTATTTTTGGTTTTATCTTTTCCTTCAGGAGTTTTTCTGAATGTCTTGCATGCCATCAGGACCAGTCTTAAAGATGTCCTTTAGATACTTAATGATTGGGGAATCAAGAATAGATGAGAAATGAGTGCTCTCTGTAGCAGTGGGATGAAGGAAGTTAGCTGAAATGACCAACACATTCATGCCTGTTGCCCTAAATTCCTTAAGCTCCTTCGTGGTGTCCCAACCACAGGCACATGCCATAGTATGGAAATGTGAGTACATCCTTCATGTGCACATGTTGGGACAAACACCCAGAGAGTCATTCTGCTTCTTTAGCTCTGTGGTATTTTGTATTTGATAATCATTTGCAAAAGTAGCCAGTCCCAGCTAATCGTGTCTTTATCAACCAGGCACAGACCTTCCCCTCTGCCTTTCCTTTTCCATACAGGTGACAGAGGCCTGTTGTTACCTCTTACACCTTCCTGCTCAGAGTGTGATTGTTTCCCCTGGCATATTTGCCAGAACTGCAGCATTGTGGTGGAGCTCAAACCAAATGGCAGGGATATAGAGGCCAGGTTACTTTGAAAGTAATTGATGTGTCATTTAAGCCCTACATAGCCCCAGATACAATTAGCCCAGTCATTTCTTCTTTTTTTTTCCTAAACTTACGCAGGTTATTAGATAAATCCACTTCTGCTTTTTATGCTTACCCAAAATCATCTTTTCTTGTACTTGACTGCTCTAGCAGCTGATGATGATGCAGAATGTTTGAGAACAAATACTGTCATTTTACCATGGTGTCTTAGCATCACTTGGAATAGTATGTGCTCCTTAGAGGCAGAATTTGGCCTTTGTGACATAAAATGAGTGAAATTCTGATTGTTGATAAATACCATGTCTTTCCATAAATGCCCAAACTGGGGGAAAAGTGCCCTGAAGATCACACCAATAGTTTTTTTTCTGTGTTTGCCTGGTGGTGTAGATGCATCCAGCATTTTACAGAAGCTTGAGGGAAGCCAGATCCCCAGACACCTCACAAACAAGTATGGATTGAAGCTTTGATATCTGCAAAGACTAAGTTTAGGGAAGAAGCATGTAGACATTTCACACTTCTGCAGCCTCTAGAATTCATTCCCTTCTTGACTGTGAGTGCAGCATTTGTAGCACAAACTCTTCATAGTACTGTAGACATGTCCTCCGTTGATAAAATGTATCACCAGTAGCACAGTGGGACAGGCAAAGCCTCTAGGTACAGTCAAGTTAAAAAGCAGCTGCATGAGTGGACTCTTAGAGCATCACTCTGAAAATGCTGTGTTCTGGTTTTCTCTGATGCATTTTACATAGAAGTTTATGAACCAAACTTTGTTTACTGCAGCCTTGTTACTGTGCATTTGCACTTGATGTTTGTTTTGGCATGCATTTGGAAGACCTGCCTTCACTGCTTCATTACTGCATCCCAACTTCATACCCATATGAAGTTTAGCCAGGGCAAGGACTGGATTCTGCACCTGGGGTGAACAGCCCTGGTTGTGTGTATAGACCAAGGGATGAGAGGCTGCAGAGCACAAAGGAACCTGGGGGTCCTGGTCATGGCGAGCTGAACACAAGCCAGCAATGCCCTGGCAGCCAGGAGGGACAGCCCTGTCCTGGGGGCACAGGGACAGCATGGCCAGCCAGGCAAGGGAGAGATTGTCCTGCTCTGCTCTGGGCTGGGGCAGCTTCACCTCCAGTGATGGGGCAGTTTTGTGTGCCACAGTGTAAGAAAGACTATTAACTATTAGACTATTATTAATGAACTATTAGAGAGTGTCCAGAGGAGGGCCATGAGGATGGTGGAGGGGAAGCCATATGAGGAGCAACTGAAGTATCTTGGTGTGCTCAGCCTGGAGGAGACTGAGGGGAAACTCACTGCAGTTACAACTTCCTCGTGAGGGGAAGAGGAGGGGCAGGCACTGATCTCTTTTCTGTGGTGACCAATGACAGGACCTAAGGGAATGGCCTGAAGTTGCATCAGGGGATGTTTAGGTTGGATATCAGGAAAAGGTTCTTCATCCAGGGAGTGGTCAGACACTGGAACAGGCTGCCCAGGGCAGTGGGCACAGCACCATGCCTGACAGAGTTCAAAAAGCATCTGGACAATGCTCAGGCACATGGGGTGATTCTTGGGGTGTCCTGTGCAGGAAAGGAGTTGGACGTTGATGACCCTTGTGGGTCCCTTCCAACTCAGCATATTCTATGATGCTGTCATTCTTATCTAATAAATTATCAGAAGAGCAGAGCCAGATTGTTAAAATTAAAAAGTTTGCATTTAAGTTTCAATGATGCTGACAGAGAAGCTATTAAGTGAGCACCATGACAGCAGTAACTATGAACCTGTGGAAGGAGGAAGCTTTAAAAGCTGCAGAATACAGACTACACCAGGAGAGAATTCAGATGCAAACTAAGTTCTCTCTTTTTTTTGGGAAAGAGAGCTACCAAGACCCTTTGTTCAATGGTTTACATAGGGATCCCCCAAAAGAGTTTTTGTAGTTTGCCAAATGATCATGTGCCTTTGCAACCTTAAAAAGTACAACAGAATGTAAACCAGGTGCTTTGTAACTAGAGCAGTGTCTTTGGTTTACATCTGCTGCAGTAGTTTTGTACATAGCTATCCCTGCAGGTAGGTAGTTTGGAGTTGGTAACCTCCTGCAAAGGAGCAGGGAGGGCAGAGAGCATTACCCTAAATACCTGTTAGCCTTTCAAAGCTAAGAATTGAAGGATACTGAATTTAGTTACAGTAAACCTGCTGCTTGAAATCTGCTCTATCAACAGGTAATGAGGTTCTTTTAACTTAAAAACAAGTCAGCCCTCCTTCCCTTCCAAAGACACAGAGATCTTCTTGTTAAAGAAAGCTCCAAAGAGGCCCAAAGCTACACTCTTACAATATCTTGGAATGAAATGGTAGATGGAGAATGAGAGCTAGATGACGAGAAACTGGTGGCTAGCATTCACGTTATCAAGGTTCACGTGTATCAGACCATACAATTAGTTCATTGTCTCAGAAAATGCAGTAAGTTTTGTTTTGTTTCTGGAATGTGAGCAGCTTTCCTCACTGCTTCCCTGGGCCTCTTGCAGTTGCTGTTCAGTGGTCACATCCCGTTATTGCACACGAACTGTGGGAGATGGTAGGTGTCTTGTCAGCTGAGGGACAACCAGTGGGTGTGAATTTGATTTGTTCAAATTTCAAACTGGTTACGTAGACTTCTGGCAGTACCTACATATCAGTGTCATATTTAACCTACTTGTCCATGAAGGACAGAATAATGGGTTTGGATATTAATGCTTTTTCAGATCTTTTCCTTTTCTTCCTTGGGGCAGGACTTTTGGCATAATTGTAACTTACAAAGTTATGTCTACATGTACAGTCCATATGAGTTATCAGACCAATTTTAATTTGGGTTTGTTCCTTTTAAAAAACAAACAGTAAAAATGTTCTACTTATGTTCCAGGAACTATCTGGAATCCTTCTACCTACCCCAAATTCTGCACTAAAAGTACATGTGATGGTTATTTTGTCCTTTTTTTTTTTAGGTGGGGGAGGTGGTTTTTTTAGGTTTGGCAGGGGGGATGTGGTTTTGGGGTTTTTCGTTTTGTTTTTTTTTTTTTTTTTTTTTTTTAGGAACTTCTAAACTACCTAGTATTTGCTTCATAGCATCCAGCAGCAGTGTGTTCAGCTCACCCAGCCTCCTCAAGAGCCAACAGTGGCCTGTCCAGTCATTTTGTCTAGTTTGTCATGTCTGCAGCAGCTGTACTTTAGAATAAGCCTAGTGTGATATTTACTTTTGAGCAAGTAAACCACAAAAATAACTTTTTTTGTTGTTTATTTGGGTTTGGAAGATGGTCAGGTTTTGTTTTGATAAGTGTCATTCTGTGTTGCATTTGTGTATTCACGTTTGTTGAAGAGAAAATCCATCTGTGTGTTTGAGAGTTCAGTGGAATTTTAAGAGAAGAAATTAAGCCCATCACCTGGGCATGGATGTTGGATCTAGGGGGAAAAATGGACCAAACTTGGGTGTTGGGTTATTTGGGGATGGTGGGGGGTTGTGAGGGCATAATTTAAATTAACTCTGTCTAAAATAAAGTGTAAGTGCAATAAATGTGCTTTTTTATTCAAAGCTGTGAACCTTTAGAAAAAGAAAAACCACAAAAAAAGTCAACCAAAAAAAAAAGCACATCATTCTTTCATGAGCCTTGTGTCCTACCTGCCTCCCCTTCCTCCCCCTCTCCACACTTCTCAACTGACAGAAACATGACAGTGACCAACTTGCATGTGTTGGCAACCCAAATTAAATTGCTGTTTGGGGGTAAGTCCCAAACAGGGGCAAGTCCTGCCCTCTGCTCTGTTCCACTCCTGAAATGCTCTTGGGCTCAGTGCTGCCCTGTGCTCTAGAGCAGGGTCTGTCCCTATCTGGGGTGCAGGAGCCAGCCCATCTGCTCTGTGCTCATCCTGACTCCAAGGGCAGAGCTCCTCCTGGCCCTCCCTTCTCCAGGTGGGTGTAGTGCAGGCTCTGCTGGGCTGGGCAGTGACTCTGCTCTGCAGCAATTGCAAAAGGATCAGCCATCAGCTGCCTGAGGGGATCCCCTCTCCCTGCCCCAACACACACACACACCTGCAGGCTGGCCACTGCTGCCTTGTGTGACTCTGCCTTGTTCAGCAGGAGCAGGTGGAGCTGTCTGCAAGCTGTTGTGCATTACTTGCACTGTCTCTCTTTCTTACTTGAGCACAGGCTGCTTTTCCTAGATTAGGAAAGGGGCACAGGTCTCCTGGGCTGCCCAGGGGAGCCCCAGGCATTGAGCAGTGATGGAAGGGGTAGCACTCACTGGTTGGACCCTCTGGGGGAGTAAGAGAGGACTGGCTTGTTTAAAGTGTATAGATACCCAGATCTATATCCTTTAAACTTTATTATTTTTATATATAGTTGAGACAATGGCATTACCTCATAATACAGAGGCTTGTTTATGAGAGGCAAAGTACATAGTAAGGAGAGGAAAGGGAAATTTATATACAGATTTAATTTCTTTTGTTTGTTTGTTCCTTAGTGCAATGAAATGTATGTCCCACCACTTTAAACTCTGTGCTAACACATTCCTTTCAGCTATATTCTTTTTTTTCTTTTGACCACCAGAGGTTTGCAAGGGGCTTATGACTGCAAAGTAGAAGGTCCAGTCTGGTTACTTAAAAAAAAAAAAACCAACCCATTGTGTTAGTAGATTTCCATAGCTGCTTTTTAAAATCTACAATGGAGTAATTGTTTTGAAACTTGTATTTATTTTTTAATTCATAACAAAATGTTTATTTTTGGTTTCCTGTTAGGTAGGTCATGGCAACTCCCCTTTCTTCCTTCTCAAGTTTCCCCTGTAATTGCCAATACAACTTATTTTTCTTGTTTGTTTCTTCTCCCTTTTCTTTTGTTGTCCCTTCATTTGTACTTTGGAGTTTTTCTCATGTAAATTTGTACAATGGGAAATATTGTCCAGTTTGGTTAGAGAGCATGGAGACTTAAAACATATTAAAATTTGATAGCTGAATTCAGATTGAAGAAAACTATTTCAGTGTAAAGTTATTTAAAGAACTCTGTATTATATGAAAGGCAAAAAGTTCTATGTACTTGATGTGAATATGAGAATACTGCTATAATAAAGATTGACTGCATGGAAAAGTCTGAAGGAGATTGTTTATTGTGTCATGCATGACTCCTCTCCAGAGTTGGAGGGGTGCAACTCAGGTGGTTAAGGGGAGTGAAAAAGTTTAGGATATAACTCTGGAAGGGGAGAAGAATAAAAAATAAAATCAAGGGATTCCTGCAGTGTAACCCCCTTCCTTTCATCTTCTTAAACTGGATCACTGCCTCCTTGACTGCTGTGCTGAGCCCTAAGGCATTTTTTTTACTATTCTGAACAGGGAGAGTTTTCCTTCATCCTGGGAAAAGCCTGGCACCAACTGGTCAGGGTTCTCTTCTGGGTAAATTCTCCTGCTTCTATGGCAATTTCCCCTCACCTCTTCACTGGTTATTTGGCAGAGCCTTTACTGATAAGACTGTTACCTGCCATGCACTCATGGAGCTTATTTCTTGGGGCAAGCACATTCTCTATCAAGCAGGCATTACAGAAGCTCGTGTGCACTCAAGTACTACAATTTTAAAGCTGTCATGGTCATTTTCCAAGAATTCTACTTAAAACAGGAAAGAAATACAGTTCAGCTTAGGCTTTGTTTACAGTTTTATTCACATAAGGACCCAGGAGCCAAAGATCTGGTTCCAGGGGCCTCAATTAGTTCCAGCAACCTGAAAATAACAGAAGAAAAACCTGAGAACCGCTTCGCTCATCATTTTCCCACCACGCAGAGCAGAAGAAGGACCTCCTCAATGCTCCCTTCAGCAGTAGTTGGAGCTTTTGGTTTAGAGCTGTAATGTGTGACACAAAAGCATAAAAAAAGAACCGGAAACAAGCAAAAGCCTAAAACATTTAAGGGGACATCTGGACAGATGTCTCTAGAAACAGAGCATGTCTTTGAAGTTAGCTAATGCTGAGTCTACACAACAGCATGAATAAAATAATTTAGAACCCGAACCAGGTAAGCTACACCTCCTAACAAACTCGGTTGTTACAGTGCAGCCTTATTTTGCCAAAACCGGGCTCCCCGGTCTCAGAGAGCCGAGACACGCGTGTGAAGGCCATGAGCAGTGCGGACACGGCCTCCCGTAGCGCCGAGGCTGGGCGGGTTTGCCCTGGGCAGTGCTGGGAGCAGGCTCCCTGCAGCGGGACCAGCCGGGCACGGTGCCCAGAGCCGAGCGGGGAGAGGTGACCGGAGCCGTACCGGTGTGCTGCTATTCCTCATCGTCCGGGGGGATGCCGAGCTCCTCGTCCGTCCAGGCCGAAGCGTCGGGATACGGGAAGTGTCCCTGCGGGAGAGGCCCGTCAGGGGTGTCCTACCTGCCCGGCCCGCGCCCCCTGCCCCCGGCCGCCGCGCCGGCCTCACCAGCACCATGTCCGAGTTGTGCCAGAACTGCCAGAGGATCCAGAACCACATGAAGCCGGTGAGCGCCTCGCCTCGGATCACCTGCGCCCGCGTCAGCTCCGGGAACTGCCGGTACCGCGGCGGGATGTGCACCCCGCCGCCCGCGCTGCAACACAGCACGGCCCCGCCTCACTCCGGGCCCCGCCGGCCCCGGCCCGCCCGCCTGCCCCGCTGCCCAGCCCGTCCCGCTCACCGCCGCCGCCCGGGCACGGCGGCCCCGGTCCGCAGCAGCCGCCCCGCCGCTCGGCCCAGCGCCGCCACCACCATGGCCGTGCCCAATGTCACCCGCACCGCCCAGCAACGGCCCCGGCGATTGGCGCGGCCGCCGCCTTCCGGGGCGGGGACAGCCCGCGGCACCGGGGTATCCCGGGAAACGGAGAGAGCCCGGGGCTCGGAGGTATCCCGGGAAAGGAGACAGCCCGCGGCACCGAGGTATCTCGGGAGACGGAGGGAGCCCGGGGCTCCGGGGTATCCCGGGAAAGGGAGCTGGCCCGGGGCACGGAAGGGTCCTGGCGCAAGGGGACAGCAGCACTGCCCCGCACATCTGCCCCTCACTCCCCTCAGCACTTGGGAGCACCGGGGCGGCACCACGGGCGGGTTCTTCGTGAGTTCTCCCTAAAGTTGGCGTCGCCCACGGGGGGCGCAAAGCGGAGCGAGCTCCCCAGCCCGGCCGCTGCTTTTTGGAGGGGCGGGGCGAGAAGGTGGCTCCAGCTGATGGTGTTTAAGGAAGGGGCAGAAGGAGCAGCGCTTCCCGCTGTCCAAGCCGGGGCAGCCGGGCAGTCCAGCCCAGGCAGTCCGGTAGCGGAGCAGCGGGGCACTGGCGGTGTCAGGATGTGGGGCTCGCCCTCGGGGCCTAGATGAGGAGTCCGCCCTCAGGTGCGGGATCCAGGGCTCTCTCTTAGGATCGGGATGCGGGGCTCGCCCTCAGGAGCGAGACGCGGGGCTCGCCCTCAGGGCCGGGATGCGGGGCTCTCCCTCAGGAGCAGGATGCGGGGCTCTCCCTTAGGATCGGGATGCGGGACTCGCCCTCGGGGCCAGGCTGTCCCGGGGGAAGCAGCTGGTGCGGAGCCTCTTCGCCCTCTCTGGGCCGGCAGCCGGAGCGGGAACACAGGGGCGGCCCTTCGGCATAGAAACAGCCAGTACAGAATTCCCACCTGAGCATCTGAGGGAGTTTTGTTCTTCTCTCCCGTTTTCCCTCTCCCACAGGTGTTACAGCGGTGTGCCTGCCTGTCTATTGCTCGCTCAGCAGTGCTCCTGGAGCTGAGCCCGGTTTCAGTCGCGGCACTTTGAGGAGGATGGAAAACCCAGCCTGCCGGCGGGTGGATCTGTTCACCGGTATATGGCAGAGCAAGGGTTGGAGGAATTCTGTCGACTTCTTGTGGAGAACCTACTGCATCCAGTAATGCATATTGGTATGCCTTCTGGGGCACTGAGGTGATCACAAAAGAAGCAAGCAAAAAATAATGGCGAAAGTACCCAGGCTATCAGGAGGGTCCCATCAAGGAATCCAACACTCCCCTACTCCTCCTGGCAAGGTATGATGCCAATGTAAGATTAATCCACACTTGTAGTTCCTCCTGAATCTTTATTGGATAACACTCCACAAAGAAGAGTTTCTGTGACCCTCCTGAAGGTATTTTAAATAAGCAATAATACCTTCTCCGTTTGTTAACACCCCAAACACCTAACATCCTCAGCTGAAGCAGCAGTGGATAGCCTTGTAGTTAAGGAATTTTAATTTCCCTGCTCATCTGAGCCATTTTCAGCAGCAGTTTACAGGGAATAGCAGCAAACTTTTCAACCAGTTTTTACTTACCGTGTGCAACGTGTTGTAACCCTGCAATGTGCTCCATACCAAGTTTATGTTTTTCCATAAAAGCTGAATGATGTGATAAAAAGTTCATCATTTTATTGCCAGCTTTGCCTTCCAACTGCCTTGTATTTTGTCTTTGTGCCTTGGAGTCCCTGGCATTCTGTTGTCCTTGTGTCCTTGTTCTCAAGCATCCCATGTTTCCCATCTCATTCAGGCTGGATGTCTCCACTGCTGGCTTTGACCTGCAGAGGCAAATTTGTCCCCCTAGACTGAACTCTCACTTTCTTCACCCTCCCTTGACTTCAGGTCCTTTCATTGACCTTTCAGCTTTGTTTGCCAGGGGAGCTTGGAAGCTGTGTAAGCAGCAGCAGCAGCAGTGCACATGTGGCCACTGGCTGCCCACCCCTGCTACACACCCAGCTGCTGAATAGAAGCCAGGTGCAAGGGGGGGTTTATCATATAGTTCTTTTTTTAATGTTCCTTCTTTCCAAACTTTTTCTCAAAATCAAAACCATTTGTGATGAATTTACAGATAAGCAGCATAATACCACAAGACATGGTGGAAGAGTTATGAAGAGAAGTAATAAACTGAAAGTAAATTTCAACTTTGTAGACAATATTCCTGTTTAAGGATTTAAATGCTCAAAAATCATGCTCATTTTCTGCTTCCATCTCCTCCTTCCCCCTTCCAGGTAAGCTCCACATCCATCCCACATGTCCAGTGCTGCCACACAGCTGATAAAGATTCCTGTAGCTCTCTGCTGCCAAGATGTTCAGTAACACAGTAAGCTCATAATCTATAGGTGGGTCACTGGAAAAGCAGAGAAGGAAAAGCTGGGAAACAAAGGCAGTTATTGCAGGGTGGGGGTTTTGTCCCATGTTGATTCAGTTTGTTTGCACTGCAGTAAGTTGCAGAGTGTCTGTTGCTGAGCTTTCCATTAATTCTTGTATTTTCATTTTCCACAGCTGTCATGTCTGTGGAATTGCCTGGAACCCAGGTCCCTTTTGCATGCCCTTGATACCCTCAACCAAAAGGAATTTCAGTGGGTTGTCCCTGGAGGCTTCCCGTGTGCTGAGGGGAGCTCGTGTGCTGGCAAGGAGAGAAACTGATGGCTGTTACTACCTGGGCCACATTGTCCAGGAGGTGGAGGTAACTCTTGATTGGGAGCATGCCTGGAAGAGCATGTATGGGTTTTTTTCTTCTGTTTTTCCCATACTCACCCTTGCTGTGGGGTGCCCCTCCAGTGTTGCAGTGCATTCCTAGCCACTGTTGCCTCCCCACACCCTGTTTTCTTCTGTTACCTGGTGCTGTCTGGCTGTTTGCTGTGAAGAGTCCTGCAAGTAAGAACAGCCTGGAGACCAATCTGGTTTTGTAGATATAATGAGTTTTTATTCAGAGACAGAGAAAACAGGTCCCTTATCCCTACTGTCTGCTTTTGCCCAGCCTAGCAGCAGAGTTAGTTAGCAAAACAGCAGCTAGTAATCCAAAATGTTTGTCTCCAGGGTCCACTTCCTCTTTATCAAACTGAGAGCTTTCCTCATTCTTTTCCATCTGTGTTTCTGGGAATTGTGAGATGATTTTGGATGCCAGACAGAAAATCCCCCCTGCAGGTTTTCTGTTAAAATCCAGTTCATTTTGCAGGTTAGTTTAATAAATTTTGGTGCTAGTGTAGGTGAGGATGTGTGTGAGCTTCAGTGTGGGGTAGAACAGATTGGGACAGCTACAGGCACAAGTGACATCAGTTGGAGCTGATTTGTGTATTTGTGTATTATTTGTGTATTATTTGTGTAAGGGCACTCAGAGATCTGCAGAGAAGGCTGAGATTCTGGCAGTAGATCTTGCCCTCACTTGCTGCTGAAGGTTTCAATTAAACTATTTAAATTTATGACAGTTGTGGCTTTTTACTGCTTTGTTACCCTTCTGATTGCTGAAGGATTGTTTTTTATCCTTCTGATTGCGGTGAACTGCATCATACACAGTTTCTTTTGGCTGCTCTTTTTCCTGTGGGGGTTTTCCTGGTAGATTCTGCCTTAGCCTGCTGATTGTGTTCTTACTAAACTCTAACTCCAAAGTGAAAGGAGGAAAAAACCTGTCAGCCCCTTAAGCCCCAGCTTTTTATTTACTTTTGAAGGGGTATGGACACAGTACAGTGAAACCCTGGTAGAAGAGGAAAGCTGCATTCCCAGATCACATTCCACTTCCTGGGATTTCTGCCACTTCCCTCTTAGCACTTAAGCTTCGCTGTTAACTGCACCTTGCAGATTGCCTTGCACACCACATGTTTTCCTCTTGCAGGGCTCCAGGGAAGGCTTTTTAGTTGAGTTTGACCAAAGTGGGGCTCTGAAGGGCAGGGTCCAGCGAGGCCGGCAGGAAACGCCGCTCTGTGACATTGTGCACTACGAGGACGCCCGGCGACAGCCTCTTGCTCCAGGGGACAGGGTCTTGGCACCATGGGAGGCTCCAGCCAAACGTTTTGGCCCTGGCACTGTGCTGAGGGTTGTGGAGAACACAGAGGCACCTTCAGGTACCTGCTTTGGTTGTTTTGGTTTTCTTAGCAGTACTGGACTCGCCATGGGAGGTGGTCACTGCAGGGAAGAGATCAAGCTCCAGCATGGAAAATTTACCTCCTGCTGCTTGGGTTCTCTTCATTGTGTTTTTATTGTTGGCACTAAGCCACCTTTTCAGGGTCAGAATTATTGCAGATCACAGAATTTGCCTTTGCTTGGTTCTGTGAGTGAAAACTTCCTAAAAAGCTAGGGGTTTGGGATAGCACCCTCCCAACACAACTCAAAAACCTTTGCTGATCCTCCTGAGGATCACCTGGTTATCTGTTAGTCTGCTTTTCTGCTATTTCAGGGTAAAATCCCACCTGCTTTGGCAAGTGAGATTTTTTTTTATATCTTCTGTCTCCTTGCAGGAAATTCAAGAGAAAGTCAAATTTTAAACATGTAAAGAATAAAATCATGAAAGTTGTTACAGAATTGTCTGAAGCACAAGTCATTACTTTCACCTCCTGCTCTCTATGAGATAAATCACACAGATTGATACGGTGCTAATACATTACTTGCCCTTTTTTTTTTTTTTCTTTCCCCCCAATATGCACAGCACACAATGAGAGGGGAGTGCTTGTGAGTTTCTGGAATGGGCAGACTAAGGAGGTGTCTCCTGCCCAAGCTCTGCGCATTCCCATGCCCCTGAGCGAACGCATCATCCTGGAGCTGCAGATGCCTTTAGCAGCCAGGCAGATGGTGGTGGATTCAAGCTTGGATTACCCATACCTTGTGGCACCAGGTTACAGAGCCTCAGGGCACTACAGACAGGGTCACCTGGGCCTGGGCTGCTGCCCAGAGGTTCTGTATTCCACTCATCCCTGTGCAAAGTGCAGCTGGGGATGCACCTCGCTTCCCCAGGGCTGCTTTGGAGCCTGGGAACACACACAGCCTGCAGAGTGCAAAGTGCGGCAGGAAAGCACCTTCAGCCCCAGAGCAAGCCTCACTGAAGACAAGCTCAGCAAGAAAATAGAACAGGAACTGTCTGAATTGAGGATTGCTTCTTCAGAAAGTGTTTCCAGAGAGGAAGAGAAAAAGGAAGAGAAGAGATTAGAGACAGAAAATGTTCCAGAAGATGTCAGGTCTCGTTTGGAAGAGGACCATGAGGTTATAGAAACTGAGAAGGTAAATAATGGTTCACCCTGGTTCTTCTGTTAATAAATGGTCTGGTAATTGTGTAATTATCTGCTTTGTTAATGCAGGTTTACTACCCTTGGTACCAAGCTAGAGGTTTAAGTGCTGCTCCTTATGCCTTCCTGCTATAGAATGGGGAGACTTTGCACTGCCTTCCTTTGACTGGGGTCAGGTCATTGTCAATAATCTGTCATTGTCCCTGGCTGGAGCAGGCTTCCAGAACCTCTTCCATGGATGCAGAATATGAGAAGTGTTGCACAGCCCAGTCCCTCTACATTCTGCTTCTGTATGAGGGAGGTAAAGGCTAAAAAAGGAAAAGTGTCAGAAGACTTGACACTGGATAGGGATTACAGTAGGGATTGTTCCCTACCAAGGCAGTCTCTTGCATGATTCTTATCACATACTTCACCCTGTTAGAGGTGTCCCCTCTCCCAGTCAAGGACCACAAGAGACTTATTTAGTCCTCAGCAGCTGATTTGGTGCTTGTGAGCAGGGCACTGGATAAGGATCAGTAAGGAGGAGGTTCATGTGCACCAGCTACTGCCACACTTACCTCCATTGCTCTGCCAGGGTTAGAATCCAAACTCTGGCACATGCCAGGAGCAGGCCTGTCTTTCAGAATATTTTTTTTCTTCATTCTCTCTTAATGTAAGCTCATTAAATAATCCTATTCTTTCCCTTATCAGGTCTGGATTATGGTTGCATTTCTTGTTCTTTCTAGGCCCCTCAGAGGGAGATGGCTCGTGCTGTGGTGGATGCTGCTGTCAACACAGACAGCTGGTTAATGGAGACAGATCACAAGGAAAAAGCAGAGAGCAGACAGCAGGATGCTGAAACTGAAGCTAATTTTGAACATGATCATGGTATTGGAACTGTAACTCTTTTAGCCAAACATAAGACTTAGCACATAATATCAGTGCAGGATGGCATCATGTGTAAGATCAGTCACCATAATTCTTGGTGCTTTACAAAGAAATACCATAATGCCATCTTTATATATAGGTATTAATGGTGCTATGGCTTTAGAAGTTATTCATCTTCTCTCCAAGTGAAAGAATTTTCAGATGGAACTTGAGATTTTTTGGCTTTTACAGCTCAGCTACTGCAGTAGCAGCTTTTGGGGGTTTTTAACCTATATCATAGAGCTCAGTATAAATAAAAAATTCCTTACTTTAAAAATTAATCTTTAACATTAACAGTAACTGTGTATAGCAACAAGATTTCACCAGGACTTTTTTGCAAAACAATCCTCTTATCTGTGCTGAAAATTATTGCTTTATAATGTCACTGAGTGGAATTTTGTTCCTTGAACAGCCGAAAGGGGCTGGATCATGATTTTGGTCAATTTGTTGCTGTTCTCAGCTTTGTGACAATTGCAGACATCTAAGAGAGGATTCTGAAAGCCTGAAGCTTTCCTTGTTATTGCTTTGTGACACTGCTGGAAGAGGGAGAATGAAAAGTCAAACAGGAGTGCTCATTGCTCCCAGCTGGGGTTCCAGCACCATTCCATGCAGCAGCTGCCACTCAGGGCTGCCCTGTCCTTAGCAGGAAGGTGTGAGCAAACTCTGCTCCTGTTCTCACTTACCCAAAAGCTCTGTTAGCAGGGCTGTGCCCATGCTAATGGCTCCTGTCTCTCAGCAGGATGTGGAGCTCAGGCATTGCCCTATCAAAGGCTTTATCATTTTTACTCATTTCAGAGCAGTTCATGCCAGTCTGTGGGATAAACAGTCCTTTAGCCTGAGTAGCTGTAAGAAGCACCAGGCAAAACTCAGTTTCCCAGGCCAAACTCTTGCCTAAATGCAATGGCAAGCTTGTTTCTGAAAAGCTGGAACCTCTTTTGTGGAGACTAAAAACCGTCCCACTTCCTTATAGGAAAATGTTATCAAATCCTTGCTTGAATATATTTCATATGAGCAGACCTTTTGTTCTTTTAATTTGCTTTCTTTCTATAAGCTTTTATATTCTCATATGTCCTTGCCCTAATTTATTTGAAAGGCTTTTTTGAGTCCAGAGTGGCAGAAGCTCCAGTCCAGCATTCCCAGAGGAGCCCTCCCATGGGAAGCAGTGCTTTGGTTCCTTTCAGGTGCCAGAGCTTCTTTGCCCAGGTGAATCAGTCACTGGAGAAAGACAGCCTGACCATCAGATCAGCCCTTTGTGGGCAGAGACCCCACAGTGCCACCCCCCTGCTGGCTGGGAGAGCCACACATCTCCCAAAGCTTCTGAAAGACAAAAGCATCACAGTGAGTATTGAGGTTTAGTTCTTAGGATGAGCAGATTTGTTTATGTCATGTGAGAATGTTCTCTCCTTTGATCTTTCACAAAGGTTTTTGCTGCAACAGAAATGATGCCTGTGTAGAATAATGGTTATGCAGAAATAGAAATTTAAGGACTCCACTTGGGAGCCCTCATTGTGCAGGACAGGGCACTTGTGGTATTTTTGCTCAGCACTTTTGGCAGAGTGTTTTTGTATGTTAGATATAATCTCTAAATAAGCTTCTCAGCCAGCTCTACTAGATTGTTGTTTTTTTTTTTACTAACTCCTCTTTTACAGATACTGAAAGCAAAAAAGAAAAAGTTTAGGCAAGCATCTGAGGCCCACAGCAAAGAGTGCATGTTAGGGCAGGGGTGGAACTAGAAGTCTCCTGATCCTTAGGCTGGTACTTTACCTGCTGGAAAACATCATTTGTTCACCTCCCACCTACAAAACACCTTTGATTCTTTCTTTGATCTCTCCTTGTGTGTGTCATTAAACACACCCACAAGGTACATTTTTTTGCTAAGAGTAGCAATACACTGGAGAACAAAGCTGTTTACAGCCCTTGGGAAGCCTTACAGATCAATGTGCTAAGAGAAACCAGTCAAAAGGCTGTGTAAGACTGGCAGGAACGTTATTTGAAAGTCCTGTAGTGTTTTCCAGCTTGTGGTATTTGAGTTGTCCCCAGGAAAGCCCTGGAAGGAGACATTCTGTTTGCATAGGAGCTGCTGACAGCAGAAACATGCTGACTGCACTTGGGAATAGGAGGAAGCAGGATGCATTTGACAGAGAAAAATATTTTGGGGGAACTCTGTTCCAGCTCCACACAGCTCTAGCAATGGGAACTGGAATACATGTCTGAAGATTTGATGGTGTTTACTTGCACTTTCCTCATAAAGGGCACTGTAAGGAGTACAAAAACAAATAAATATTTCACTGTGGCTGTGAAGAGAGGCCTTGTGGGTGCTCCTTCACCTCTGTACATGGCACAGTGCATTTAAAAACAAAGATCAGCAGCACTACAGCATTGAAATGAAGCTACTGCTGAAGAAACACAAAGACTGCTTGAACATGGGTAGAAATCTCAGACAACAAAAGGTGAAGAGCTGGAATACCTGCAGAGAACTTGGGAATGTTCTGGGTTTGGCCAGATGGAGGCAGGTATTTCTCTTGCTAATAAAATCTAGTAAGGAATTTATGTTTTATGGTCAGAACCTGGATATTCCATCCAATCCAGAAGTTGACCCAAAAACTGGGGAGTTTTAAGCATTGGCTCAACATCAGAACAGCACAGCCTACTGACCTGTGGGGAACTCTTAAGACTGGATTTTCAGGCACCTGTTTGTTGATTAAGCCTACTGTTTTCTGCAGGTTTTAGCATCATCCTCAGTACTTGTATGGATGGGAATCAACACTACAGTATTTGTGAGCCTTTGTAGCTTCTAGGCCTCAGGAGTGACATTAAAACTGGCTTCTTCTGGTTTTGTATGCTTACAGTGTGCATTAGAAGAATACACTGCTGGGACTAAGGGTTGTTTGCTTTTTTTCTCGTAGAAATCAATCCCTAGTGGTGCATCTCAGAAGAGGTGGAAGGAGCTGGACTTCAGCAGAGCCAAGACTGAGCACAGAAGGTGGCAAGAGGAACAGAGGCAGCTGAAGAGGGAGCAGCAGCAAGAGGCAGATGGCACCTGCAGGGACAGCCAGAGGTGATGCTGGGCACTGACTGCTTTTTGTGCTAGAGGTTGGAAGGTTGGTAACATCTGCTCCCTGCTGCTCTCCCACCTGGTGCTTTTTGCTGGGCTCTGCACAGGGGTCACAGTGGATCCCTACTGGGAATGCAATTGGTGCTGGAGGTGTGAGGGGTGGGTACACAGCATTATCTCCAAGGACAAATTCCCTTCAGTCCTGCTCTCAGACCAAAAGTGCTGACATCAGGCACCAGCCTGTTTGGGGCTTTTGCTACCTCTGTTCTGGACACAGGTTTAATCCTCATAACCTAACAAAGAGCCCTGGAATGTTAACTGAACACAGATTGCCAAAATATCTGCTTTGTGTCTTATGCACTGTCTTTCTTTTTTATTGCTCTTTCTTTATGAGAAATTTGAGCAATTTTGTTTTGGAAACAGGCAGCGATTGCGTCAGAGACCATTGCAAGGGCTGGAGAAACAGCTGGAGCACAAAGAGAGAGCTTTGCAGCACGTGGCACTGCTCCAGGCTGCTGGGGCTGAGAAGAGCAGGAAGGAATCCTGCTTTCCAGAGGAGGAGGAGGAGGAGAGGAAGGCAAGGCAGAGGCTTCAGCTCTTAAAGACACGGCGTTTGCAGAGAGAGGAGCTGCAGGCAGAAAGCAACAACAGGAGCTGGGAACAAGAGAAAGAAAGGCTGGTAAGGGCAGTTCCAGATGTTATTTTCTTCTGCCATGTTTCCAGCAGTGGAAGTGTATATACAAATATCTGGAGTATTTGTATATTTCACCTGTTTTACATGCAGTGTAACTGTATCATTTAGAGATAAAAAGGGGTAACTTTTTTGGCATGTGTATAAAGATGAAAAGTGGAAATTAAAATTCCTTATCTCTGTCACAAAAGAAGTCTTTCTGCATGCAAGAAATTAATTTCCATGGATTGTATCCATTTCTGACTAATGAGAATCATAGTACTGTAGGATGATTTGGATTGTGTCCATCTAGTCCCAACCCCCCTGCCATGGGCAGGGACACCTCCCACTAGACCAGACTGCTCAGAACCCTCAGAACCCCCTGTCCAGCCTGCCGGGGATGGGGCATCCACAGCTTCTCTGGGCAACCTGTGCCAGTGCCTCTCCACCCCCACAGGAAAGAATTTATTCCTAATATCTAATCTAAACCTACTCTTTTTCAGTTTAAAGCCATTCCCCCTTGTCCCATCACTCCACACCCTTGTACAAAGTCCTTCTCCAGCTCTTGTAGCCCCTTTAGGCAATGGAAAGTGCTCTAAGATCTTCCCAGAGCCTTCTCTTCCCCAGGCTGAACAAGCCCAGCTCTCAGCCTGGCTCCATACAGAGGTGCTCCAGCCCTCTGAATATCTTTGTGATCCTCCTCTGGACTCACTCCAGCAGATCCATGTCATGCTGGGGGCCCCAGAGCTGGGCAGAGATGAAGAGTGAGGATGAAATTTGGCATGAAGGCTGCCTGTACAGTTTTGAATGTCTTTGTGTAGGAGTTGCTGAGGAGCAGAATGCAGTCACGGCAGGAAGTGCTGGAACAAGAATCCCAGGAGCAGGACAAACAGCAAAACCAGCACCAGGCTGCCAAAGTGAGAGTGTTCCAGAGGAGAGAGAGTTCTCATCTGAAGATGGAAAAAGAAGGCCAGAAGCTCTGTGCTCTCCAGCAGTACCTCAGGGAACAGAAGCTCCTGCTGCTCAGGGCATCCCTGCTCGAGTAAGGAAGCTGCACAGAGGGTGAGCAGGGCCTGGAGCAGTTCACAGACCTGAGTCAGTGTGCCAGAGCAGAGTGTGACAGGTGGCATTGGATTCCTGGAGAGGTCTCTAATGTCCCTTTCACTGCAGCCAGAGTGCACTTCCAGTGCTCTGTCCTTCACCTGCCTTTCTCCCTGAGAGGGAGCAGCAGGGCACATCTAGAGGCACTTTCTGCACCAGAAAGGAGGGGTTTTAGTGCACTGCACTGTGGGGAGTGGAGGTGCCCAAGGAGAGAAGGAGGAGGTTAAGCTTGTCACATCTTGAGGTGTTCCCTCTTCCTCACTTCATCTGAGGTACAAAATTCCCCGTGGCTGTGCCCAGGAAATGCACTGATCAGCTCTGGGTAACCAGAAATTTCAGCCAGGTATTTAGGAAAGGAGAATGAACATAGCACAGTTTATTTGCTGAAACAGTCAGAGCTATATGGAAATATCTTTATTTTACAAAGAATTATGCTAAAATGAATACAATGTATGTATATATGATCATATATATGATCAGCTCTGGGTAACCAGAAATTTCAGAGGGGTATTTAGGAAAGGAGAATGGGGCATAGCACAGTTTATTTGCTGAAACAGTCAGAGCTATATTGAAATATCTTTATTTTACAAAGAGTTATGCTAAAATGAATACAATATATGTGATGCCTTATTTCAAGTAATGCCTAGAACCAAACTAGATACAAAATTTAAATTTGGCCTGGCCTTCACATACACTTAGAAACAAGATACAATTTTCTGGCACATAATAAAAATTTATGCCTCCTTCTAGAATATAGCAACAGTGATAATGGCACTTTCTTGAAAAAAAAAAAAAAAACAAAAACAAAGAAAAAAGTTAAATGAAGAAAACTTGTAAAAGGGAGCTCCTTTGAAATCCTGCCAAATCTGAATGGCCAGCAGATGCCAAGCAGTGTCAGACTGCATTCCTCCAGGGATAATAGAGAGGCTATGCCTTCAGCTTTTCCCTAAAAAGACCAAGTTAGGTCTCTCATCCAGATGTTTACAAACTATTCTGAGACCTTAATAGCTAAAATGGGTATTTTTAAACTTTAGGATCCATAATGTACGTGCGTGAGCCATCCTAAGATTTTTGCTTAGAGAAAAAAAAGGGGAAAGATGAACTTAAATAGAAGGTGAAGGCTTTAACAAACAAAATGTAAGGTCTGAAGAAAATGTAACTTGCTTCAGATTATGGAAACTACATGTGAGGCACAGTTTTGTATTTTAGACATGAAATCCCATCATTTGGAACAGTTTCCAGTCTGTTGAGTGTCTGGGAAAGCTGGCTGGAATTTGCTCAGCAGGAACATGGATGGTTGTGCCCCAGACCTGGCACACACTCTGCTGAGGGAACGTGGGTGCTGATGGCACATGGAGATTTTCTTCAGGATAATGTTTGGGGGGTTTGCTGCCTTCTCCTCTTGTTTGAGTTCTCTTTTACATAAAATCTTGTGCTAGTTAGGACGATGCTCTGCCTGCTTATGACTCTAGTTAGAGTTAAAGAAACAAGCCTAAAACTTACAAGGTGTTAAATTCTGCTCCTGCTTTTATCCTTATGCCCTTGGAAATGGAATATGCAGTGATTAAAGGAAAGTACATGAAATATGCTGAGCTGAATCTAAACTTATTTTTCAGACTTCATTTATATGCTATCAATCGTTGCTTTATAATCACCATAAAACAGCAGATTGTCTCCTTATGCACTTTCTCTTCATTGCTTAACCACCTGAGAAGAGACTACTGCAGAGACCCTGCTCTACTGCTATTTCACACAGGGTAGGTCTGGGAATATATTCAGTACCTCATTATTTCCAATCATTCATAGACTGTATTTCTCACTATTAAAATGCAGCCATAAAATCATTTTAATACTGCTATTAAAATAATTGACTGTAAATGCCACGTGTAATCCAGCTCTTCTGCTAGCTTTATTTGATTTTAAACATTTGCAGTGTGGTTTTGATCCATCAGGAAAATCCTTGGGCTCTGGTTTGAAACCTGCTGGGAAAAAAGCCCCTAAGTATCTGATTCCTCTGTATCAGTTAAGGTTTTGAGTAGAGTGGGAAGCACCAGCAAGGGTAGTAGAGAAAATCACACAGAGCAGAAAAAAGAAACCTCTTAAGTTTCAGAAACAGAAAAATTAAGACCAGGACAAATATTCCCAGAAGTTGTTTTTTATTATGGAATTAGGTTTTTCTGCCTAGGTAGATATTTTATTATGCTGTTTATAATTCAAACTCCTATCTTAATGTACTAGAGTACAGAAGTTTGAGAAAAAATTTAAATGGTCTGGTTCTGTCATCCAGAATGACTAAGAGCAGACCACTACATGCAGGATGTTAGGACACTTCTACAATAAAAGTAGAAGTTAAAAGTACAAAAGACAAACAGGTTTATTGGCCTTTTTCAGCCTGAATGTGTTGCTTAGGAGATGCTAGAACATAATTTCTCATACCACAGTGCAGGTAAGTCAGTAAATTAAATATTTACCCTGATATATTTTAAAACAGACTTGATCAATTAACATCTTTCTGAAGATGTTTTTAAAAACTACCACAGTAGTTCTTAGAACTGTTCAATGAGTGGGAAATGTCCAATTGTGCAAATTCTTCCTGCTTTCTGGAATAGACCTTCTGATCATCCCATGCTTGGCTGAAATGACTGAAGGCAGCATTAGTGGAGAGCAGCCACATCCCTGGGGTACCTGTGACTTCTCACCTTCAGCCTCCTCTGTGTCAGCTCCCAGGCAGCACAGCACAGGTAACCCCCCACCACAGGGAGAGAGAGGGCAGCAGCCACAGGAGTCTATCTGAGGGCAGAAGCTGCAGTTTTGATGAGCAGTGGCTTGGCTGCCTCCAGGATGTCCAGTTCAGGGTCCAGTGAACGTCCCAGTCCTTCCAGAACCATGATGGCAAAGATGATGGAAGCAAAATTGCTCTCAAGCTTCACCTGGAACCACAACAGACTGGATGGACTCAGTGGATATTGTTTTCTTCTGTACCCCTTCAACCAAGGTACCAGCTCTGCCTAAGCTGGGAGGGAGGGGAAGGCTGGGGAGCATTTGCACACCTGGAACTATAATGCAACTCCACCAGTTGGACTGTGGCTCACAACCCCAGTTCAAGCCACCACAGGTCTTTTGATTTCCAAAGTTGTTTGCAGCTGTGGAAATTTGTCCCCCAAATAATCAGTTATAAGGAGGTATCTATAGTCTAAGGGACTATAAAAAAGGTAGGAAAAACTATGTGTTACAAAAATACTCATTTTAGTAGACAGTATCAACCATTACATGAAGTATTGAGACAAAAAAAACAAAAACACCCACCCAAAAAAAAACCAAAACAGAAATTGGGCTTGGCAGAGTGTGTATAGGACCTGAGAAACAGCATGCCTGCAACACTTGGATGCATTCCTGCTGTTCCTCTCCTAGCAGTTTGTTTCAGAAGTCAGTCTCCCTCCTTGTTAGCCCCTCGTGCTCCCAGTAGTTCTCCTTCCCCAGATGAACTTTCAGCTATTAGAGGCAGACAGGGACAGCACCTCACCTTATGGGTCATCAGTAGTTTGAAGACACTGGAGAGGAGATTTCCCACCTGAAGCTGCAATACACAAGGAGAATTTTAACAGCTGATCAAAAAACTTTTTTTCAGTTTTCAGTGCTGAACTGCAGCTAAGTGGGACTGTGACAGGGTGCACTTGCCTTGCCCAGGGCAATGGTGTTCCCCCGGACCTTGGTCACAAGCTCTGCCATCTCAGCCTTGAAGCGCTCGATGTCCTGGCACTGGTTGGCACGGGCATGGTGCAGGATCAGCTCTGCCACCCTCTCCCCCTGACAAAAAACAGCACAACCAGAACCTGGTCACTGGTGACTTGCAATGAGATGCTTGCAGTTCTTGCTTTTGTTAGCTGAGAAGTGCCCCTGGCAGCACAGGATGGGCCTGCACACAGGTTTAACATGGTTTCTTTGGCAAGCTTCAGCACACCAAGACAGAACGTGTCCCTCTTGAGCTGTGTTAGTGAGCCCTTCACCCTGCAGCTGAGAGACAGCAACAGGCAAGTGGGAGCACAATGCTTGTTCCAGAATGAACAGGAGACACCACCATGGGTTTTCCAGTCCATCTGACAGTGAGTTTCAAGGGGGGAGGAGGATAATGTAGTTCTCCTCACATGGAGGAGCCCAGCAGAGGTCAGACCCCTCCACACACCTGTTTTCCTTCCTCTCCTCTATAGATGCTGACACAACAGCAAAATGGAGGAAGGCATATGGGCCTTCCAGCAGCAGGGCTGCAGAGAGGAACGTGTGGGGCAGACCAGGATGTGAACCCATTCCCTCCTCTTCTGTAGCAAAACCTGACAGATTCTGCAACAGGGGCTCCCAGGCAGTCCTAACTTGCAGCAGAAGTACTCCTAACCAGGAAGGGGCAGCCAATACCTCCCATTTAGCACCTCCTAGTTCCTGAGGCCTGGAAAATGCTCCACTCTGGCAGCCTCCTTGCTGCAGCTGAACAACTTGTCCCTTTGTTTGGGGATAAGATGCTAGCAAGGCTCCTTTCAAGGGCAAATAGAAAACTGTCACTTTGGCCATCAGATTGCACAGCCACCTCCCTTCCCAGCCAGCCCCATGCTGGAGAGGGGCCTCACCTGTCCCTGGACCACAGCCGTGAACACGGCGCGGAAGTTCTGCATGTCGGCGCTCTGCAGCTCCGCCACGATCCCTGCGTCCAGCAGCACCAGGCACAGCTGCTGCAGGGCTGGCTGCACCTCCAGCACCTGGCTGTCACACAGCTCTGGCACCTGGCTGTCACACAGCTCTGGCACCCGGCTGTCACACAGCTCTGGGCGGGCGCTGCCCTGAACCAGGATGTTCCCGGGGTGCAGGTCGGCGTGGACAAAGTTGTCGACGAAGATCTGGAGGACAGGTAATTGTGAGAGCAGCTCGTTCCAAGCAAACCTGGTGATGCCAAAAGCCCCCAGGCAAAGGGCAGAGGGTTGTTTGTGGTCTGTTCTCT